CCCAAGTGTCTTAGATGATAGGCATGAGCCACCAAACCCAGTTCCACATTTTCTCTCTTACCCCAACTCTAAAGCCTTCCTTTCCCAGCTCAAGATCAGCCTTTCCCAAGTGAGCAGCAGTGCAGAAATCTACCACTTTCAAGTAAAATTCTTTCCCTCACCCTACAAATAGCTATTTTTTGCTGCACTACTCCTGGCAGGACTAGATGGGACATAAGGTGCCCCATCCAGGTGGAACTCAGCCAAGCAACTCCATTCTTTTGGATCCCTTTTCTTCCCATGGGAGTAAATTTCTTCCTTGCTTTTTGCCTCCTGCAAAAAGGTATTCCCCTTAGTCCCTTGCAGTCGGCTCTGACTAATACCCACAGCTTGCAAAAAGTAGTAGCATAGCCCCTCGCTTCATTTCCAGCAAAGAAACACCCTCTAACAGGTACAACAGCTAAGCCTCAGGTTGAAGGTAACTTTGCTTTCTTTCTGAGAAAATGAGTGGGTGGGCATTTGCTTTACATCTGGGTGCCAAAAGGGCATACCCAAGGACCGTCCCTGAGCACAGATCAGGCTAGTCAAAAGTTAATGGCTCCACTCAACAGTACTTCTCTCCTCCTTCACCTGCCACTGCTTCCTCCAAGTCCCAGCTTCTCTCCCAAGACACCTTCTGGACCAGCTCTCTGCCTCCAGAACTCTCCCCTCTCCTGCCTTTGGGATCCATCATAACATAGGCCTTCGCCCATGCCTCACCAGGAGCACTTGACAGGCATCATCTATTTTCCACACAATTTTGACCAAAGAGGCCTCCAGGTCCTGGGCAGGGCCCTTGGTGTACATCTTAGGAGAAATCCTTTTAATTTTTTTTCTGGACAGCCTTGTGTAGTTTGAAGTCTCTTTCAGGTTCATTTGCTTATTTAATGCTCACAACAGTCCTGTTATCCCTGCTTTTTGGGTGAGGAATGTAAAGCTGAAAGATAATGACAATGCTCTGTTCTAAGAGTTTTTTTGTGGCCAGGCATGGTGAGTCCATGCTTGTAATCCTAGTGGCTCTGGAGGCTGAGGCAGGAGGATCCCAAGATTAAAGCCAACCTCAGCAACTTATCGGGGCCCTCAGCAACTTAGTGAGACCCTGTTTCTAAATAAAATATTTTTTTAAAGGGCCAGGGATGTGGCTCAGTGGTTAAGTGTCCCTAGGTTCAATCCCCAGTACCAAAAAAAAAAAAAAAAAAAAGGTTTTTTTTGGTATATTGCCTCATTTAATTCTTGCAACAACCCACCATCATTCTCATCCCAGAGATGGAGTCACTGACCCAGGTGTCAGAGCTGGGTACAACCCTGGTATTTGAGCTGTTCCCTGAGCCACTCCCTACCCTGCCTCAAGCTAATCAGATGACTTGCCTAAGATTACCTAGTTGGGACATCATGGGACCAGGAGTCCATCCAAATCTTCCTAGCTCTGCAGCCCAATTTCTGAACCCCAACACCATGCCACTTAATGGCAGAAATCCTTCATTAGAGCTGTCACCCTTGATGTATCAGATGTATCTTGGTTCCCTGTGCCTGCCCAGGCTCCTTCTGTAGGCCCACCCTTGGCAGCTGCTGAAGACCAGGCAGAAGAAGACCTCAGTCCTCGAACTCAGAACGTCAGAGCAGGGAAGGCCCTTGAGCTCCCTATCCAGCCTCCCCTCCTCTCTGTATTTGGAGGAAAGAGAGAAACTAAGGGCCAGAGTAGAACAGTAATATGTGCCCAAGGTCACAGGACTAGTGTGGGCACAGTCCACGTGAGGGAAGAGGTCCATCCAAGGATCAGACCTAGGTACCCCCAAAGGCATCGTCACTACAGGGAATATTTAAGAGCTGTGATTCTCACAGTCTCTTCAAAGGTCCATATTGGGTCTATTCACTTGTGAATTATTAACAAACCCAGTTCTGTATCCTGCTGGGTAGGGCTTATTCTCTCCAAGAAAACCAGTTTTACAATCACCAACACAGCTCCATTGGGAAGGCTCTGGAGTCAGTGGTGGATCTGGGCTGGCACAGACCACAGGGGTTGGGAGGGGCATTTGTGCCAGGAAGGGCCTAGGGGAAGGGACTGAAATGAGGATGGGGACAAGAATCACCCAGATAATGCTCACTTATCAACCCAGCACCCCTGAGAGTGATGGAAGGAGGGAAGGCAGAAAGCAGGAAACAGGCGTCCTGACAGGGGAGGAAGGGATCCTCACTCAGAATGCTGTCAGCTCAAGGTCACAGGTGGGTGGATGGATGATCAGAGTAGAGTTACTGTGTTGAGAGGCAGAAACAAGGATGATGACTCACAGGCTCCCCTGGGCTGGGACTGGGCAGCTCCTAGGGGTGGGGAATGGGCCAGGTGGGGCCTTCCTGAGGGTGGGCCTGTCCATGCTCTGACTCACCAGGTGAGCGGGCATCACAATACTGGGTTGGCTTCAGTATCGTTGCCACCATGGTGGTGTGAGGAGTGTTCCAGCTGTAATGGCAGCCATGCTGCCTACCTTGCAGAGCTCAGTTTGCATCTGTAAAATGGGGAGCACAACATCTAGCACACTACCACAGTTACTGGGTACTTATGCAGCACTATGCTACATGCCAGGTCCTATTCTGGGCATTCTGCATACATGAATTCTTAATTCTTACAAAAGCCCTTTGATGTAGGCATTATTATTATTTCTATTTTACTGATGAGGAAACTGAGGCTCTATCTAGTTAGAAATGAAAATTAAATGAGATAACTCATGTTACATATTTAATACCATGTGTGGCACTTAAGAAGCTTTTGATATGCATCAGCCATTGTTGCAATAATTACCTTAGAGGTAATTATTTCCTTAGGGAAACTATAAAGTTCTGGACCTAGTGTTCATGTCTGGTGATTAGTCAGACAACACCAGCTGTCAGGCGCTGAAACACACAGATGAATCTGACCAGGCCCTGCCCTCAAGAGTGTCCCGTGGTAGGGGGAATTAGGATTGGTCAGAGCAGGTTAAGGCAGTGGGTGCCCAGGATTCCCAGCCCAGCCTGAGAGGGAGGGCTTTCTGGAAGAGGCAGTATTTGAATAGAAACCTGTAGGGTAAGGAGGAGTTTGGGCATTAGCATGTTCTTAATACAKGTTGGTCAAATACCGTGAAGATCTACCTTGGAGCTAATGTAGCTTAAAGCTTCAGGATCTCTTCCTCACCTGCCTGGCATCTTCTGAGGCTCCAGGAGGACCCTAGCAATTTTCTATCAGTAAATTTGTATGATTTTTTTTTTTTAAAGAAGCCTCCCAATAGTAAGCTTCTGGATCCATCCCTGGTCACATGAATGGACAATGAGTGACAAGGAAGGGACATATGTTCTAGGGAAAGGAAACAGCCTGGGCAAATACGTGGAGATTTGAAAGTGCATGGCATGTAACAGCCTCCCAGCCTCATCACCTGGGACTTGTTTTTACAATAAATTGCTGGTCTTGTCACAGCCTCCAAACTCCAGCTGTCACCAATGTGCCCTTGCCACCTATATGTTTTCATGCATATTGTTCCCTTACCTGGTACACTTGCTCCACAACTTCATTAATAATATAACTTCAAAGCTCAGCTCTGACCCCACCTTCTCCAGAAGGCCCCCTGACTCTCCTCATCTGGATTCCTTACAGTTTCGTGTGGATGTCATTATAGACTACTTCTTAAAGTTAATTATCTTTTTTATGCCTATATATGAGACTGCAGAGGTGAGATGATTCTTGGAAGTAAGCATCTGCCCTCTGCTTACACATGGGCTGGAGGGGAGCTCACTGCCTTCCCAAGAAGCTTGTTTAATGTAAGCAATAATCCCACAMACCTCTCCCCCCTACAAACAGCCTGCCTGGCTCCCCTGGGATCTAGTCCAAGTCTTCTTCCCACCCCGGTTGCTTCTGCAGACTGCTCSCTCCTGTTTCCTCCTCTGACATCTAGGAACTTAACCTGATCTAGGGGAAGTGGAGTCCCTCCTTCTCCTGTCCCCAGCCTATGTGAAGGGACAGCTCTAATGGCAGCCACGTGCTGTGCTGTGATGAGTCATGATTAAGAGCATCTGGGACCCAGAGGTGGTGGTTGGTTAACTCCTGATGGGCCAGAACTTTCTCTGCCAGGAGATCAGGTCAGTTCAACCCTGGGCTTACATACCCACCTGAGGCCTAGATGCACAGTGGACACCTAGAGAGTGACCCCACACACAAGCATTGAGAATAAAAGAGAGGACCAGTGGGGTGAAGGACTGGCACATGAGCTCCAGAGTCAGAAGGGCTGGGTTCCAATCGCAGCTTGTCACGTATTAGGTGCGTGCTCCGGAGCCAATCACATGAACCCTATGCCTCAGTTTCCACATCTGTAAAATGGCAATTATGGAGATTGAGAAGACTAGTGTGAGCTGCCCACTAGCAGTGAGTGCTAAAATCGCGTTATTTCCCGCCTTCTGGTCTCCTACAAACATACTCCATGGGCATGTGTTTGGGATTAAAATTCAAGCCTGACTCTGGAGGCTGTGTCTTTCTCTGCATGAATGCCCCCATTAATGTTGTAGGACATCAGAGGCTCCGGTGGGAGCCGCTGCGGGGCGGGAGCTGTGGGGGAGGGGGAGTGACAGGAAGGTGGACCTCAGGTCTAGGAGAACTTTCTAACTCTGGTGGGGGCGTCTGCGGTAGGAGCGAGCGCTGGGCGGGGTCTGCGCACAGAATCTGTGGCCCGGGTCGCACCTGTCCGGGCTGGGGGTGGGGACCCTCGCGCGGGCCGGGCGAAGGCAGGCCCCGCCCCAGCCCTGCCCCAGCTCCGCGAGGCTGGGGGTGGCCGTGGCCCCACTGCGCGGGTGGGCAGACCGAGGCCCGGCCCGGCCCCGCCGCCTTCCCCGCCCCCKGCGCGCCCCTCCCCGGCCGCCGCCTCCGTGGCTCGGCTGCACAGCGCGGGGCTCCGGGATCCGGCGGCAGCACCTGGGCCGCTGCTGGCGTCCGGCGGGGGCAGCGCCGCTCGCCCCCCTCGGCGATGACCACGGCCGGCGCCCCGGGCGCCCTGCCCGCGGGGTAAGTGCGCGGCGGGCGGCCCCGGGGGCGCGGGCCGGGGCGGGGACGTGCGGGGGCCCGCGCCGAGCCTCCCCGCCGCGCCCGCGGCCCGCACTGCGGCTGTCGCCCCTGCCGGGCGCGCAGTCCCCGCCCCGCTGCCTCTSGGGCGGCCGGCGCCGGGAGCCGCGAGGGGGCTGCGGAAACTGCCCCAGGGGACCCTGGGTCGGCCACTCCCCCTCTGGGTCCCAACTTTCTCACGGAGGTGTAGTCAGAGCCAGGTTGGCAGGAGCCTGCTCACCAGCCGCGTGGCGTTGGTGCCTGGGGTGGGCCTGTGACCATCCCCCGCGCTAAGATGAGGAAACTGAGGCATAGCTCTTTATCTGACTTGTCTCCGCTCCTCCCCGAGGTAAGAGTTGGGACGAGTTCTGTCTGATGTCAGAGCTCCCACCCACGTCATCTTCAGTGATATTGGGTGGACTTAAAGGGCTGTTTCGTCCAACCCGGCCCAGGGGATGTAACAGGGTTGTAAAAGGTGGGCGTTGGCACTATCAACAAGGCTGTCTTCCCCAGCCCTACCCCCACCCATTGAGGAATCCTGTGGGACCTCCACATTGTCCCTGTAGCAGTGACAGCTGCTTGCTGTCCAGAGACCTTCCGCAGCTCTGCCTTTCCTAAGCCCCGGTAGGTAGGGGCAGCTGCCGGGATTTCTGGCTGCTGGCAGGTTGCTGGGCAGAGATAGAACCCCAGGTGAGTTGGAACCTATGCCTGTCCTGCCTGGAGCCTCACTACCGGTGACAATATTTGCCAAGGGCCTGAGGCCTAACAAATGAACAGGGAAGTTAGGAACCTGGTGCCATCTGGGCAGCTGGATGCCCCCATAGGGCCTTTGTGTGGGGCTGGAGTATAAGAGCTCAGAAGCTGGGTTGTTGGTGAGGGATGCCTGGTAAGTTTTGCCTTGATCATTTGTTATATGACTTTGGCCACGTTCTTTACCCTCCCTAAATTTTTCGACCCACCTTTGGAAAATATGGGGAGGCTGGGCCACCTTCCTGCTGAGGGCTGAAATCCTTGTAAATCTGGAGCTTGCTTAGGTCCCCTTCTGCCCAGCTCTGACTTAGCACCACCCCACTGGGTCTAGAAAAGTGATTTCCTGGAGAGCATGCAGGCATGGAGCAAGGCTTCCATGAAAGAATCCTAGACTGTGGGACTGAAATCCACATTCATCCCTCTTCTTTATACCACCACATGCCTGAGTCCCCTCCACAACCTCAGGCTCCTCTGGGCCTGCTGTGGGATTCCAGGGCAGCAGGCTGGCTCTTCTAGCACTGGCAGACCTTCCTCAGACCGACCTCACCTGCCTCCCTGCAGTCCTGCCATGGCCTACTGTTCTTTGAGGTCACGGAGGTCTATCTGCCCCTGCCTTGGTCAGAGTCATCCTCATGGGATCTGAGCAGTTGAGGCCCAAATCAGAACCATCTCCACCTTCTCTGTGAACACTAATTCAGTCACTCATCAAATAAGACCTGTTTGGGGCCCAGCCSTAAGGCAGGATGGTCAGTGGTGAACAAAGTAAACCTCAAATCTCTACCACTTTAAAAATTATAAAATATTTTTAAGCCTTTGGAAGAAGATAGCAAATAATAAACTGAACTCTCATGTTTTTGTCACCCAACTTTGTCAGATATTGTCACTGTGCCCCATTTAGTTCATGTTCTTTTTTTTTTTTTTTTTTTAAGAAATAAACCATGGAAACCTCTGTGGACACTCCTTCCCTCCTTCCCTCTCCAGAGATAATTGCCATCCTGAATTTTGTTTTTTTCATTTCCTCATTTTCATTCTTTTGCTGAGTATATGAAATGCTAAATGGTAGGTAGATGTTCTTTAAAGTGGAGTCATAGCATGTGTTGTCCTGCAGCTTTTTCCTCATTCAATGTCAGGTTTCTGAGGTTTAGCCTTCTTGATTATGTGACTCTGGTTGTCCTTGCCCTGATATATGGTACACCGCCCTGTGTAAAGACTCACATTTATTTACTTACCTTTCTTGTTGGACATTGAGGTGGGTCTCCATGTGTTGCTGTTCAAATACTGAATATTCTTGCACAGGTGTCCTTTGCGCATGTGTTTCTCTGGAGTGTCTCTTAATAGTAGAATTGCCAAGTTATAGGTATGTACTCAATCTTTTAAAGTTATATAGTTTTATTATAAAATCAGTGCTGCTCAGTAAAATAAATGATGGCAATACATAATGTTGGGAAAAAGTTATAATTGCTGACCTTTTCTGAGTACTTCCTATTGTGCTTTACACAATCTCATTCTTTASGACAACACAGGGAGGTAGATCCTGTCATTCCCAGGCCACTGATGAAAAAACTGAGGCTCATAGAGGTTAAAGAACTTTCTCAGGTTTTTGCAGGAAGTTATTGCTGAAACGCAGCTTGAGTCCAGGGTTATGTGCTTTCAAAATTCTTAAAGGCCACCTTGTCATGCCACAGGGCACTCGCTTTATGTGCATTTAAGGGGTCTCTGGAAGGAGTTTAGAAATGTCACTTTGGAAGTGGATATGTTACTTCACTGGTGGCGCCGAAGTCCCCCTCTCCCATGATGGAGCAGGGATTAAAAGCCACTTCTGGCTCCAGTCTGCTTCTTGAGTGACTTTGCTTCCCTGCCCCACATCCAGCTCACCCTGACTGAGGTTGGGATGGGAGCTTTTTAGCTGGGGCTGAGGATCTTCTAGCTACCCCACTCTGTCTCTGCCCATGAAGCACTAGGGTAGCAGACCAGGTGACAACAGATGGGAGGTGGGAGGCTAAAGGAGAGCAGGGAGGGGCTCCAGGCTGCCTGATGCCCCCTTCCACTCTGTCCAGTTCCTATCTCATGTGGGCCTTAAGTGGATGGGATCTGAATGGGAAAGCCCCACCACCACTAGCCAAAATTCCTGTAGTTGGTCACCAGCCCTGCTCCATTCTTCACCCAACCCTGTGCTTCCCTTGGCCACCTTCCTCACCCATCCCTGTCAGTGTCCCCAAGGAGATGGCCCCTCATCACAGACCCATCACCTGCTTACCTGAAGGTGCCCTAAAGGAGAGTGGCCTTGAAGACACAGCCTATGAGAAGGAGGGGCCTCTGTCACAGTCAGGCCAGGGGAAAGACGTGGAGCACTGAGATGCAGAAAGCATTTGTCTTTTCCCAGCTTCTTGGGAGGGGCCAGACCTTGTTTCCGCTTTAGGGCCTTCCCTCCCTTATCTGTCAGTACAGATAAGAGTGCCTGCTAGCCRGAGGATTGAGTGAAATAATGCAGTCTCCAATTTAGATAAAACTTGAATGATATTCTCTTGGTGGTGGATGGTGTTAATGCTATTATTAAGTTAAGTGGGGCCAGTGTCCCTCTTTCCTGAGCTCCCCGGTCAGCCCCCCGCCGCCCCCGTCTCACCTCTCTATTTAGCTGCCTTTTTGGAGTCTCTGTCTTCCAGCCCTTTGAGACTGCTTAGCCCCCTAACTGCTGTACAGGTGTGGTGTCTCCAGCCCTTTGTGCACATTGTCCCTTCTTGCACTTCTTTCTCTGTCATATCTGCAACTCTGCACCATCTGTCCCAGATAGCTTTCTTGAGTGCCCCAGGCAGGGTTGGAGACCTCCTCTGGGCCTCTTCAGTTCCAGTGATCCCCATGATCACAGCCCTGATCAGGATGACGATCACTGTCTCCACCTGCACCTATTGCTACTACAGACTATGAGCTCTAGGGCAGGCCCAGGTCTGGGCCCTCTCTGTGTTCCCAGAGCCTAGCSCCACACTTGGCCCAGAATAGGAGCTCAGTGGGTATTTATGGGGGTGAAGGAAGGAGGAAATCATCTGGAGGAAGGAAAGTCACTTACCAGCCTCACTCCAGTTAAGTCAAAGAGGTGCCAGGGTTGCCAGGGGGACAGATATGCATCTCCGTACTGTTTGTCCCTCAGGCTGTGCATGGACAGGTGGGCAGAACCTCTTCTTGGTGGGGGATGGAGGGAGTAGGGTATGTGTGCATAAATGGGAGTTAGGCTCTTGGACATAAACCATAGCAATGGACTTGGTTCCCTGAGGCTGAACTGATATGCCTTGGCTCAGGAAGAAACTTGGGTTGGAACTCACATGTGGGTGTGTCACCTTGGCCAAGTCACCTCTGTGTCTCTGTTTCCTCATTTGCAGTGTGCGTGTCTGTTTGGCAAAGGGAGCGGGGGTGGTAATAATCCTATTGCACAGAGCATTTTGAGAGTTCAAGGAGAGAGTGCTGTTGAACATCCAGGGTAGTAGGTGCTCAGTGCCACCTTGTTGATTCATTTATCCAACAGAGCTGAATGGATTGAACATTAGTTGACAGGCTGGGCCCAGGGCACCAAGGAAGATAGACACATCTAGGCCTTGTGAGGAGAGGGCTGGGGCAGCTTGGGGTGGGACTTTTTAGACCATGAAAAGGAACTGGGTCTTTGCCTTGAGAGGATGGGGAACCAGTGAAGGATTTGAAGTCTAGGAGTGACATGGTCAGATCTGTGGGGTTTTTTAAATATTTATTTTATAGTTGTAGTTGGACACAATAACTTTATTTCACTCATTTATTTTTTATGTGGTGCTGAGAATCGAACCCAGGGTCCCGCTCGTACAAGAGGAGCGCTCTACCGTTGAGCCACAACTCCAGCCATAGATCTGGTTTTTAAATGGACATATTTGGCTATAAAAAAGGGACAGATTAGAGGGAATAATGTTTCAAATATTCTGCCTCCAAAAAAATTACCTGGAGGATGGATGGGTTATACCAACCACCCTTTATGACACCTTCTGAGCTCCCTCAGTAGAAGCAGATTCTCTCAATCCAAGAACAAAGAGGGAGCTAGAGTCAGGCTGGAAATGAAATGAAGCCACAGCAACCTTAGGGTCCTTGCAGATTCAGAAAYCTAGACCTGTCAATGCCAATAGCCACACAAGGGACGGGAGATGAGGTTTTGAGCCTGCACAGGTACAACAGTATAAGGAATTAGCACATAGTCTTCCTCTTCCTCATAAATGTGGGACCCTAAGGCCTTCAATCTCAGTGACTCGGAGGATGGGCCAGAAAAAAGATCATCCACCAGAAAAGGGAGACAACAGTTCTGGTGGGAAAAAAAGGGTTCTCTAGAAAATTCTAAATATTGATCTGCCATGACACAAATGCTGGGTTTGAATGCACACCACTTTTGTGGTCCTAGAATTCATAAATTAGAAAAGTGACTTAAGTGGTCTCAGGGTGTCAGTGCCTCAGGGAACTTGGCTGGAGTAAATGGAAGTCCTTTTTGGATGGATGTGCCCTTGTCCCAAGGTCCCTTTAACAATGATGAATTCATGTTTAAATTTTAAAATACACAAGGAAACAAGCCATTATGATCAGCAGATATCAGGAACAAATAGTAGTTTATCTGAGAGTCTTAAATGCTAGAATTAGCAGATACAGAATATAAATAATTGTGCTTAAGAATTGTGGAGACATTGATGCCAGGTGTGGTGGCACATGCTTGTCATCCCAGTGGCTAGACAGACTGAGGCAGGATGATCAGGAATTCAAAACCAGCCTCAACAAAAAGTGCAACACTAAGCAAATCAGTGAGACCCTGTCTCTAAATAAAATGCAAAATAGGGCTGGGGATGTGGCTCAGTGGTCAAGTGCCCCTAGTTCAACCCCTAGTCCCTCCCCCAACTCCCCCCCCCAAAAAAAAAGAATTGTGGAGATGTTGAAACAGGCATAGTGATGCATGACTGTAATCCCAGCAATTCAGGAGGCTGAAGCAAGAGGATCTCAAGTTTGAGACCAGCCTCAGCAACTTAGTGAGACCCTGTGTCAAAATAAAAATAAAAAGGACTGGGAATGTGGCTCAGAATAAAGTACCACTGGATTCAATCCCCAGTACCCCTCCCCCCAAAAATATATARAAATTGAAGAAGAACTTGAAACAATAAGATAAGCAGGTAACAAAATACTACCTAAAATATCCAAAACATACTTGAAAAAGAACCAAGAAGAATTTTTGGAAAGGAAAAATATAATAATCAACATGAAAAAAAAATCAGTATCCTGGACAAATAACAGATCAGACACACCTGAAGAAGGAAGTTGTGAAATGAAAGACCTAAAGAAAGTACTCAGAACCTAATAAGTCAAATGGATAAGAAAGAAGCAAGTTGAGAGACATGAAATGTGGAATAAAAACTGTCTAGCTGAGGGGCCGGGATTGTGGCTCAGTGGTAGAGTGCTTGCCTAGAGTGTGTGAGGCACTGGGTTCAATTCCATAGAAAAATAAAAACAAATAAAATAAAGGTATTGTGTTCATCTACAACTAAAAAAGTATTTTAAAAAAATTTAAAAAAAGAGAGAAGGGGTAGGAAGTGATCGGAACAGACTTGGGTAAAGATGATAGAGACTTGGGCCAGAGGCCACTGGGCATGGAACGGGGTAGGTAGGGTTTTTCTTGGTGGTGGTGGGGTACTARGGACTTAACCCAGGGGCACTTTATCATTGAGCTGTATCCCTAGCCTKCTTTATTTTTTGAGACAAGATCTTCCTAAGTGCTTAGGACCTCCCTAAATTGCTGATGCTGCCCTTGGACTCACAGTCTCCCTGCCTCAGCCTCCCAAGTCTCTGGTATTACAAGGCTGGGGCATCATGCTGGACAAGAGGACGGTTTTGAGACATTTAGGTAGTATAGTTGATAGCGTTTAGTGATGTAGTGGATGATGGAGGCCTGTGAGAGGGGTGTGTCAAGGATAACTGTCAGATTTCTGGCTTGAGAAACTGGGCAGAGGTGTGTCACTTATTAAAATGGCAGAACTGGGGGCTGGAGATGTGGCTCAGTGGTAGCGCGCTCGCCTGGCATGCGTGCGGCCCGGGTTCGATCCTCAGCACCACATACCAACAAAGATGTTGTGTCCGCCGAGAACTAAAAAATAAATATTAAAAACTAAAAAAAAAAAATGGCAGAACTGAGGGAGAACATATTTGGGAGAATGAATGGGAGTTTAAACGGGACACATCTCATTTTGCCTGGGAAGATCTGATGTATGGAACAGGAAGCACTAGAATTGGGCCTCAAGGTATAGGTAGTTTACTTGGTGGAGAAGAGGTTTTCTCTTTACTATTTTTTGGGGAAATAGGAATTCCCTTCAATGATATCACTGAGCTCCTTTCTGGAACCTTCCTTCACTCACAAGAGATCCCTTGAGAAGAGGCATTCTCAAGATTATCAGTTAGACTTCTGGGATCTTTCTCATTTCACATCTTATTTTTTAGATGGGAATACTGAAGCCCAGAAAAGTTAGGAATTTGTTTTCCTTGTTTTTTACTCCCATTTTTTCATTCATTCATTCATTCACTTCACATATGTGTTAAAAGCCTACTTTGTGCCAGATCCTAAGTGCTGGGGATACAGCAGTGATCAAAACTAAGATTCCTGTCTTTTAGTGCTTGTATTTTTGTGGAGAGAGAGAGAGACAGACAGACCATAAACACAAGAATATATCACATATGAGAGAAGATAAGGACCTCAGAGACATGTGAGAAGTGGGGAGGGCGGGTGTGTGGGAGGTGTCATTGGAAAGGTGAGACTGCAGTATGGAATGCCCCGGGCTGCTTTTACAGGTCTGCTGCCCTCCATGGCCCATTATGACAGTGTCTGGGGTTCTAGAGTGCAGGCCTGTCTAGAGACAGGAGGAGGCCTGGAGAAGGAGGGACAGAAGTGGGACTTAGTGGGTGAGCTGCACCCCCCCCCCAGGGGGGCAGCAGAGCCCAATGGGTCAAAAAGGCCACAAGGATCCCCACTGCTCTTGTGGAGGGTAAGATACATTTATTCCCGAGGTCTTCTTGCTGTCTATTCTCCTGAAGATCTCAGATGTCACACACGCTTTTGCTCCTCCTCTCACCCTTGGAGACATTGAGAAGTGGGTCCAAATTGTCTCTTTATTCCAGTACAGAGTGGGCAGCCTGGAAGGGCTTGGGAAAGATACTCAAGGCTAACCAGAGAGGTAGTTGGCCAGGAGGAGCTGAGGCCCATCTCTCTCCCCTCAGGACTCCTGTGAGCAACCTCCATGAGGCCCTGGACCAGTGCATGACGGCCCTGGACCTGTTCCTCACCAACCAGTTCTCAGAAGCACTCAGCTACCTCAAACCCAGGTGAGCTTAAGCCCCAGTGGGGGTGAAGGGCGGAGCTGCGTGTGCACATGAGGTGCAAATGTGTGTGTAGGGATGGGGCATGTTGGTCRTGGAGAACCAGAGGTCTTRTTTGAGAAGAACCTCATGTAACTCAATGCCTTCAGCTTTCTGGGTCACCGTGACCACTGAGAAGTCCCATAAAATGGCTCAGGATCCCAGTCCCACAGCCTTTGAGCAGCCACCATAGAGACCTCTCTAAGGTCGCTGTGACTTATTCACCTCTTCCCACTTTACCTCTTATTCCTGCTGAGTCCACTGGGGCTTCTTGTCTCCATCGGCTAACATAGTTGCTTTGCTTATTTTCCCTGCAGTTGCCTACTTCAAGATCAGTAGGGTAATAATGAGCACTGCTCTTTTAATCAATTCCCCCAGTGTTTGCTGCCTTATTTCTTGATAATATGCCTACACTGCTTTTTCTTATCATTTTTTCTTTGTCTTTAAAACTGAGATATGATTCTCATTTCATGAAGGTCACCTACTTTTGATCCCACACTTTGATTATATTCTTTATTTGCTGCTTCTCTCTCTCTGTCTCTCTCTCTCTCTTTTTAAAATATGGTTCTTTTTAGTTATACAGAGCAGTAGAATCCATTTTGATATTCATACAAGCATGGAATATATCTTTTGAAAGTCACCTTTTTTTACTTACTACTTTTTGAAAAATTTGTTCTAATTAGTTATACATGACAGGCAGAATGCACTTCGATTCATAGTACACAGATGGAGCACAATTTTTCACTTCTCTGGTTGTACCCAAAGTAGAGTCACACTTTACACATTTATCCTTAATTCCACCAGTTGATCCTATCATGAGTTTTTCCCTATATGTCCAAATACCAAGTGAGCTCTCAGTCCCTGTTCTTCCTGGAAACCTGGATATACGTGTCTCCTGGCCACCTCCCAGCTACCACCCCCGCCCCAGGCTCCTGTTGCCTCTCTCCTGTTTCCTTGAACCCAGGTCTTTCTCTCACATATTCTACTGGATTTTTCCAGAATATGCCCTCTAGAAATTTCCTAACAAAGAGTTGCATGAACATAACATGTTTTTCTATCAGAAGTTTGAAGGTATCACTCCCCTGCTTTCTGTCATCTTCTGTCTCTCTGAACCCTAATTCTACTTTTCATGTGATCTTTTTTCCTTCTCTAAAAATGTTTAGGATCTTCCCTTTTATTCTTGAAAATCTGGGATTTCACAGTGATGTGCTAAAACAAAGGTCTCTTTTTTTTTTTATCCCATATTATTTTTTGGAGACTCCGTTCTAGGAAATTCCCTCTATATATTGTTTCTCTTTCCTGGCTTTATTTATTTAGATCAATCCTTTTCTACAGCTCTTATCTCCCGTTCCCCTTTCTGATTCTTTATCATTTTCTTCCTCAGCTTCATTATTAAGTCCTTCTATTGACTGCTTCTACAAGTACATGATRATTTTTTAGTATTCTGTATTGTTCTGTGGATCTTCTTTTTTTCCTATAACATCTTATTCTTGATTTGTGGACCTGTTGTCTTCTTTATAGCTACATTTAGAATGTGAGGTTCCATATGACAAAGCCTGACATAGTAAGCTTTCTAATTTATCATTGTTGTTGTTATCATCACAGCTTATTATCCCTTTTTAAAATGCTCTATTCTTTTCCCAGGATCTTTATTCTTTTCATATSATCTTGACTTCTCCAGTTTCCTGAATTCTGTTTAATGGTGCGAACCCTTCTCTCATGGGGTATTTTCTCAGATACCTGATGATCCCTAGTCATAGTTAACAGTGAATTCACTCGAAGGCCAGCTGGAAAACCTGTGCCAAGTAGCCTTGTGATTGGTGAGATCTGGGAGAGAGCTGCTGGCCCCCTGATGTCAGCATCTGGTGTGGTCCAGTTTCCTGAAAAGAATCCTCCATTTCTAAGCCTGGACAGAGAACCCAAGGCTGCCTGAATTCTGAGGTGGGGGAAGGAGGCTGGGGTCCTATCATGTCATCTGCCTATTTTCCTTTAATCTCCCTCTCTTCAGTCCTACGATATCCTCTATATTGCTATACCCAGTTCCCCAGATCCCAGGAAAGCTAATGCCCAGGCAGGCCTACTGGTTTCTACAAGTCCCCAAGCCTGATTGTTCACTTTTTWAAAAAAAAATATTTATTTTTTAGTTGGACACAATATCTTTGTTTATTTATTTTTATGTGGTGCTAAGGATCGAACCCAGGGCCTCGTATGTGCTAGGCGAGCGCTCTACCACTGAGCCACAATCCCAGCCCTCTGTTCACTTTTTCTGGAGTTGACTGGCCCATCATTCTGTTTTCTGGGCTCAGAGGCCCAGCTTCTGGAGTGTGGTGGGGGATCCAGGATGTGATGATCAGAATGAGTCTTTCTGGTAGCTATCCTATACCTCATTCTCACCCTCTGAAGGACTCAGGTGACCCAATCATCTTCTCCATTGATAATGTCCAGGTTTCCTTCCAAATAGTTTTTGTTTGTTTTTTGTTTTGAGGTACTAGGAGTTGAACCTAGGGATCCTCTACTACTGAGCTACACCCCCAGTCTTTTTTCTTATTTTTTTATTTTGAGACAAGCTCTTACAAAGTTGCTGAGGCCGGCCTTGAACTTGCAGTCCTCCTCCCTCAGCCTCATGAATCTCTGGGATTACATCATGTGCCACTGCATCTAGCCCCTTCCCAATAGTTTTGGAAGGCTTCTCGCTSCCAATTCCCTCCTGGTCATCTCCTGTTTCTCATTGTCCTGGACCCCAGACCATAGCCACCTCCTGCACTGGAAATTGGCTATCTCAAGACTATACTGCCACACACCAAACATTGACACTGGCCTTTCTCCTCATCCCCTGAGGCCTAGCGAACACCAGGTCACACCTTGGTTTAACTCTGGACTGTCCTGTAGACTTCGGGCCAACAGAAGAGAATCAGAGCATAGGGGGAAAAAAGAAACACTAAAACCACATGGCACATTACACTCAGGTCCTCAGTGAACCTACCAAAAAGTCCTGAGGAGGGATTTTTCCTCCTCCTCTCCCTCACCTCAGGGAAGCACTCCAAAGACAAAACCCTCACTCTAAAGGAGGTACCCCAGAGAACCAGTCTTCCCAGGAGGTCCCTCTTACCTTGCATGTAGAGCAGGGTAGCCTCTGTGCCTCAGTGCTTTCCCACAGGTGATAGTATCAATTCTAGCCCTCCCTACCCTGCCTTGTGTTAACCAAAAATGCCTCCAAAATTGCCAAAAGTCCCCAGGGGAACAAATTATGTCCTACCTGTGATAGCAAAAAAAAAAAAAAAAAAAAAAAAAAACCAAAAAACTTGCAAGATGTCCTCGAGGGGCATGTTGTGGGGGCAAAAAATACCTCAACATGGAGAACGCCTGGTTTAGGGAAAATGATTCTTGCTAAAAAGCAGTCCTGGTCCCCATTTGTAGCCTCTGAAGCTTCAGGAGAGGTTGGGATTCAATTTCACTGTCACGTTGTCTTGTTTAATTGTCTGCCTTAGCTATAGGGGATATTATCCCTCTTTTACTCCCAGGGGAAGTCACTATGTTTACCAAGCTCCCTTCCTTATGTCTGTTCTGCTAATCTCTGGTACTTAGCTCTATGTCCGTCTCACAGCATTGTCTCTGGAACATGGAGTCTACCCTGTTAATTTTTCTCTATAAATAAGTGATCATGGTTCATAAGTGGCAGAGCTGGGATTAAATGCAGGGCCACCTGGCCCATAATCCCCACTCTGACCACTGTGCTCTGTTGGGTCTTGGCAGGGTGGAGGCGGTTACCTTGCATAGGAAGACCTCATGCTGCCTCTCCACCAGGAGGAGTGAAGAGGTAGGAAAGGGTGTGCACAGACCTGCATGTGCCTGGGCACAGGAAGTTCAGGGTGCATCCCTGTGGACATCCTGGAATTTCTCCAAGAGAAMGGTCACTTGTTGAGACTGAGGGGTCAGGCAGTGGGGGGGGGGCGGCATAGGGAGAGTAAAAGGTGAGTAGTGTGACAGGCCTGACCAGGCCCCCAGCCTGAGGTGTGCCTGTCTGCCTGGCAGCTCTCTCACAGTGTTCAGTAGCAGTGTAGAAGAAGCGGGCAGTCCTGCAGACCCTGGGCTGGGGTTCCTAACTGAGGGCKTCAGAAGGTCACAGGACTTAGCACTGAGTATTCTGACAAGAGACAGGCAGGTATGAGGAAGGCTGGCCGAGGGGTCAGGAAGAGGAGACAGGTTAGAGGTGGGGCAAAGGCAGGAAGCTAGGGAAACTGTGGCATCCTTTAAGGCTCCAGAAGCAGAGCCATTCTGCATGATGAAGACAAGGTTCAAGGTGCCATCCAGGGGAAGGGAGGGTGGGGGAGGACTGTTGCTGGTTCATTCAACCTGCATGAGGTGTCCTGATGCTCCAGTACTATGCAAGACATGGGCTGTTGTCAGGTCCCAGCAGGGGAATAGTGAAACCAACCATAAGCTTGCTGAGAGCTACACAGGGACTCCAACTCATGTGCGGGTCAGGAAGGCTTTGGTGCCAGCTGCATAATTTCTTTCTTTTCCTTTTTTTTTTTTTTTTTTTTTTTTGTGTGTGTGTGTGTACATGCCCATGCACTGGAGATTAAATCCAGGAGCACTTTACTACTGAGCCACATCCCCAGCCCTCTTATTTTATTTTTTATTTTGAGACAAGTTCTTGTTAAATTGCTTAAGGCCTCACTATATTGCTGAGGTTGACCGGGAACTTGAAATTCTCCTGCCTCAGCCTCCTGAGTTGCTGRGATTACAGATGTGTGCCAATGTGCTATCTTTTATTTTTTATTTTGAGACAGGGTCTTGCTAAATAGCCTTGAACTTGGAATTTTTCTGCTTCAATCTCTTCAATCTTTTGAGCTGTTAGGCTTATAGGTGTGTGCCCAGCAAGATGCCTAATTTTCAGACCCCATTGCAAAATGAAAATGTGGGGTCATTTAGCTCCAAATTAAGAATTTTGAACTGGGCACAGTGGCATATGCCTATAATCCCAGTGGCTTCTGAGGCTAAGGCAGGAGGATCCTTGACTTCAGAGCCAGCTTCAGCAACTTAATGAGGCCCTGTCTCTAAACAAAATACAAAAAGGGATGGGGACAAGGCTCAGCAGTTAAGAGCCCCTGGGTTCAATCCCTGGTACCAAAAAAAAAAAAAAAAAAGAATTTTGAGGCAGTGATAACAGAATTAAACCAAACATAGGACCTTTTTAGGTGCAATGCTCTGTGCAGCAGCACAGATCAAATGCCTGTGAAACTGGCTTCAAACAGCTTTCTTGAAGAAGTGACATGTAAACTTCTGGGCTGGATGAGAGGGAATAGCCTGAGCCTGAACCTGCAGTGAATGAGGCTCTGGTGTATTTGAGGGTGGAGACCCTCAACCTGGCTGGAGTGGGAAGAGCTACAGCAGGTCCTAGTAGGGAAGGGTCCCAGCAGTCTGAGGGAAGGTGAATGGGATGTACAGTCCCCTGGAAGCAGCTTGTCTTGAGAGGAGGGCAGTGAGGTGAATTTTGAGAAGACCAGGATGAGGGACGAGGAAATGGGAGCTCTGATGAAGAGGGAGTAGAGATAAGGTGAGGTAGGGGGCTGTCTGCCTCCAGACATACTTGGAAAGTGAGGCCCTAGGCTGGGACTAGAGTTGGGGGCCTAGGAAGGAGCAGTGGGGGTTGGGTCAGGATGAGAAGGCCCAGATGGTGGAGGCAAGGGCCGTCATGATGGCTGATAAGGCCTAATTGTTGGGTGTGAGCCAGGAAGGAAGAACTTGAGGTCCCCAGTCACAGCATCCTGCTCTGTTGATGGCTCTTCCAGCACCCTCCCCATCTTGATAACTGCTCTGGGCCCTGGAAGGTGGGATCCCAGTGGGCATTGTTTGGCAGAGCTGGGTTCAGCGCAGCTGTGTGGGGCCTAGATTCTGTGTGTGCAAATAAAAACATGTGGAGTACATACTGAGGTTTGGGGGTTGTCCTGCCTTTGTATATGAGTTTTTAGTCTTGATCAGAGTTAGGGGGCTTCCAGATGATAGGTGAGACAGGGCTAGGATTCTAGCCACAGATGCATGTTGGGGCCTTGGAACTCAGACTAGAAATTCTACTTTGCCTGCCAGCTACACAGGTGGGGCTGTCCCTCCTTCTGGGCCAAGTACCATACTGGGCTCAGCAGGGAAGCTGGACAGGGGGGCTGATTCCTGGGACTGAGACCTGTGGAAGAAGAGGAAGGGAAAGGCTAGGTCCTGAGTTGGAGAGGTCTGAAGAAGGGGTTGTGGGGCGTCAGGGGGTTGGGTGTCTGTGTTGCTTGGGAAGCCCCTCATTAAGGAGAGGGCTGGGAATTAACCTTGACCCTAGCAGGACACAGAGGAGCTCAATTTACTGAGCATAGACGTTGTGGCCCCTGACCTGGGTGTCACTCAAAAAATACAATAACCCTTGGACAGAAGAGTTATTGTATTCACTTTACAGAGGAAAAACTTGAGACTTAGAGAAACTGTGAGGTTTACCAGAGTCATATAGCTGGTGACTGGCAAAGCTGAGACTCCATTCTGTGTCTAAGGGACTCTGAAGTCCAAGTTTGGCCCCACTTCAGGCAGCCATTTTTCCACAAACTGCTATCCCCAGAGGAAGCCTGATGAGGTGTCTTGAGGACAGGCAGGGATCACGAGGGGTCCTCCAGCTTTTTGTTTCCTTCAGGAATCTTTGACTCTCAAGAAGCCTAACACCCAAGAGTCACTCAGAAGTATTAAAAAAAAAAAAAGAAAGAAAAAGAAAAAGAAACTCAATCTACAGATGTTTCATGAACGAGAAAGGAAGACGGTTAGAGTCACATGATTTTATGATAAAATTGTCTATAAACCTTAGTCATCTCTCTCTCCTGTGAAGTTCCCAGCATAAGCCTGGCACTGAGGAGTTTTGTAAATAATTGACAAGGGCACGTGGGGAAGCAGCAACACTGCTGCTGTGCCAGGCAAGCAGCTCCCTCCTGTCAGTCCCAAGGGCCACAGGGCCCAGGCCAGCCAGCATCATTGCCCCCTTTTGCAGAACAGCCACCAAGGCCCAAACTGGCATAGTTCCCATGCCTCCTTGCCCTCTACCCTCTCCATATGTTAGGCTAAACCACCCCCCTCCTTCCCAAACACACCTCTGTGGAGAAGCCCAGGGCTGTGGAGGAGCAGGGAGGCAGGAGGCAAAGGCTGAAGACAGAGGTGAGTCACATCCAAGCTCTGTCCTGGAGGTGCCCACAGTCTTTGGAGATGGCTGAGTCTATGCTGATGTGTTCAGTGTGGCCTGTGCCTGGTCATAGGCACACAGTCCCTGAGGAAGAGCCCTGGATTCCCAGGAGGCTTGGAGGCAGGGGAGAGGCATCTCAGGGCACAGGAACCATGAGGAGGAAAGCATGGGTTTTTTTCGGGGAAGGTCTGGATGGTTCATTGAGGCCAGTGGTGCAACATTCATTGTAGCCAGACCATGGGGGGGGGCGGAGCTTGTTTCCTGTGGAACTGGGATGTTAAACCAGGGGCTAGTGGTCAGATGATGGGACAAAGGGATCAAGAGTACAGCTGATCCAGGGGGTTGGGGATGAGAGCTAGCCCAGGTTTGGGGCTTGGGGATAGAAGAGATCTTGGGAACAGAGAGGACCAGGGATTGCCTGCCGGAGGTGAGGGCAGAAACAAGAGGCGGGCCCAGGTTTGGGGAAGGGGGCAGCTTTAGGTCCACACTCCTCCAGGACCTTAGTCCTCAAGCTACGTTGTTGCTACCACCCCTCCCAGAGAGAGGAGGAACTGAGGCTCAAATTTGGAAGGTCATTTAGGACCCCTCAGCAGGATGAGGAAGAGCTGATCCGAGGTCTTTTGAGTGGCAGTGAAAGGGTCAGACAGTACTTGCTTCCCTCATGAAGTGCTGGAAGGGGATGGCAGGTGATTTGCACTTGTCCAGTCACATCTGGAGCTGGAGGAGGGGTGCCCTCAATGTCCCCTTTCTCTGGCAGAACCAAGGAGAGCATGTACCACTCGCTGACGTATGCCACCATCCTGGAGATGCAGGCCATGATGACGTTCGACCCCCAGGACATCCTGCTTGCCGGCAACATGATGAAGGAAGCACAGTTGCTGTGTCAGAGGTTGGGGCTGTGGGGAGGCAGGGACTGGGGTCTGAGGTCCCCCTGTTTGCCATCCTGTCCATTCCTAGTGCCTGGCACTGAGGAGTTTTGTAAATAATTGACAAGAGCACTAGTAGTGCTGTTGCTTTTGGCTAAGAGGTTTTGTCCTCAAGTGCTGAGAGCCGTCCCTGCCAGCACAGCAGTAAAGCTTTGTCATCTGCTCTAGTTACCAAGCAGCTTTCAGGTACCAGTGCTGACTAGGAGAGAAATCTAGCTCTGTCACTTCATAACTCTGACCTTGGCAGGTCCCTCTCTGGACCTAACTTTCCTCATCTATAAAATGGGTGTGATAATATATGATGATGGGTAGTTCTGGAAACTGCATGAGGACATGGGTCACAGGACCTGGTRCATAACTGAATGTGTCCAATCCATATTTGCTGTATAAGTGGGCCAATAGACCCTGAGTGCCTGGGCCAGATGTGGTGACCTAGATTATCAAAGTGGGGCAGTTTTGTTACCTGTACCACCAGGCAAAGACACAGACCCAGAGAGTGATTCAGCATGATTCAGGGGGCTCATGGGGTTTTGAGTGTCTAGCCCACGAAGTGAGAAAGAGTCCTGGAGAAGGTAATACCTCAGAAGGGCCCTGGAGTGTGACGAGGTGCTGGTCAGGACAGAGTGAAGCAGGACAGGGATTCAGGCAGAAGACAACAGCAGGGCAAAGGCGTAGGAAAGTCCTGAATTTGGGAATGCCAGGAGTTCAGTATCTGGAGAATCCTATACACCTTGGAGTTTTCTGGGAGCATAGCAAAAAAGGGGCAAAGACCTAGGCTGGTCCTCTCTTTTATCCCCACTTAATGACTGGAGGCCTCTTTTTCCTTTTCAGGCATAGGAGAAAGTCTTCTGTGACAGACTCCTTCAGTAACCTGGTGCACCGCCCCACCATGGACCAATTCACAGAAGGTGTGGCATCTGTGCCCAGCCCAGATGACCCAGCTCCAGACCTGAGGAGTGAGGGGAGGGGCAGTTCTTTTTCCAGTTACCACSGGGGCAGGGCCCTGGGCCTACATGTGGGGCATGTGTGTCAGGCCTGGGACCTTTTCAGGAATGGCCCTCTGGTGAGGGTGTGAGGAGACCTGCCCACCCAACAGCATGCCTGGCTGAGAACCTGGACTGAGGAAAGGGAGACTCATGGAGACCAAAGGGTGCTTAGAATGGAGTGTCGATCAGGTGTACCGATGGACGCTTAGTGACGCTGTGTGTCCCAGAGGGGAAAGTGATCTTAGGAATTGACATCCCAGGTTTAGACAGATGGCAGCAGCAGCAGAAGAGTTGATCTGGGCTCTTGTAGACCACGTGGCATCTTTAGGCCATGACATTGGGTGACAGTAGCCAACCATAAGTTATTTGGGGCTTTTCAGCACAGGTACAAATGATCTCACCCACCTGAGAGCACTGGTAATTTTAGTATCAAACAATGCATGCAGTGGTGCAGGGTGCAGCGGCATCTGCAGTGACACTTGGGGAAGGAGAAGGGTCTGTGCCTATATTTGGGGTGTTAGTGCTGGGAGCCAGTCCAAAGACTAGGGAGAGAGAGGTGAGCTAACTTTGGACAGGGTGACTGGGTAGAGGTAGGGGAGGTGCTGACACAGCCTCCCTTTGTTTTGGGAAAAGAGGGGGTTTTAGGATTGCCTTTGTTTTGGGAAAAGAGGGGGTTTTAGGATTGCCTTTGTTTTGGGAAAAGAGGGGGGTTTTAGGATTGCCCCCCCGCGCTTCCTGGCTGCAGTATTTTGTTTTTCCCCCCTGCAGAGGAAATCCACGCTGAGGTCTGCTATGCAGAGTGCCTGCTGCAGAGAGCGGCCCTGACATTCCTGCAGGTAGGGACCTCTCCTTTTGCTGGGAGGCTGGAAATTTCAGATCAGTTACCATGTCCATGCCAGATGGGTACATAGCACCATGACCCTCCCCTTGTGGTCCAGGCGAGGCCTGAGGCTTAGAGCCCCAGCTCCTGGTCCTGGCCAGCCTCACTGTGGAGGGAATGGGCTCTTCCCCTTCCACCCAGCACAGGTGCTCCCAACCATTTCCAGGGTGTGGCTTTGTTAGGGTCAGGCAAGCATCGGAGGAAGAGACCACCAAGAGACTTGTCTCATGCAAAAGCAAAGGGTTTATTGTGGGGGGAACCAGCATGCTGGGGCTCAGAGTTCTCCTGAGAGAAACTGAAGCCCCGAGTATAGTTTAAGCAGAGTTTTTATACAGTGTTTAAACAGGAAAGTTAATATGGCAGTTAGGGTGTGAGAGTGGGATTGTTACAAAATAACCATTACAGAATAATCATGCGTTTTGTGAGGGGGTGTTGGGTCTGGGTACATTTTGACATTAGTAACTGTTTTTAACATAAGTTTCGGGTTCCAGGAAAACAGAACTTAAATTTACAGAAAAGCAAAACTTAAACTTAACAGGAGAGAAAAACTTAAATTTAACCTTTACAGCTTCCACCTTTTCACTGCTGCTGCTCCTGTTTATAACCATGTGGGGCAACAGGCATTGTCACAGAGCCCTGTCACAAAGCCCATTTTTTGTTTTGTTTTATTTTAAAGAGAGAGAGAGAGAGAATTTTTTAATATTTATTTTTTAGTTTTCGGTGGACCCAACATCTTTATTTTATTTTTGAGAGAGGGAGAGAATGTTAATATTTATTTTTTAGTTATCGGCGGACACAACATATCTTTGTTTTGTATGTGGTGCTGAGGATCGAACCTGGGCCGCATGCATGCCAGGCGAGCGTGCTACTGCTTAAGCCACATCCCCAGCCCACAAAGCCTGTTTTACACTTGATTCATCCAGTCAACACTGGTAGCACCTACAGTGCACCAAGCTTTTGCACACAGCAAAGTATGTCCTTTCTCCATACCTCACACACGTCAGTTTGTTTTTATATATGTTTACATTGTTATTTAATCTTCAACTCAGAAGCCAGTGAAGAGGCAATTTAGAGGAGTCATTTTCTCAGGGTCACAGGATTAGCAAATGGCCTCCTTACCACCCTGTAGGATTCATGAGAACTATCACTGCATTATTTTATTAAAAAGCCTGGCTTATAGTTATAACATATTATCAGGATATTTGGAGGGAAGGGATACACATGGGTGCTGTTTGTTATTCTTAGCTCTTTTTTTTTTTAATTGTCTTTTGGGACCTTTGGTGATTAGAATTAGATTAATCCTAATCTTTGGTTTAGGACTCACTATAATAATTGCACCATGAAAGGCTTGTTTGTTTGTTTATACATACTGGGTAATGAACCCAGGGGTGCTTCACTACTTAGCCACATTCCCAGCCCTTTTTACTTTTTATTTTGAGACAGGGTCTCACTAAATTGCTGAGATTGGCCATAAACTTGTGATCTTCCTGCTTTAGCTTCCAGAGTCTCTGGGATTACAGGCATGTACCACCACACTTGGATCATTTTATTTATTATATTACTACAAATAATAAACACCTTCAATCCCCAAGAACAGCACTGGTGGAAACTCTTCTCGCCGTCTGAGATCCTGCCACCATCCTGGCCTCCCTCCACAGGGAAGCCACTAACTTCATTTTCCTTCATTCCCCACCTGTTGTTAAAAACAGTTTATCAGCTTCCTGTTCCTTTCTGAACAGTACATTGTTATGCTTCAGTGTTTATGAATTTCCCAAGGGCTCAGGCTATGTGTTGCTTGCTTTCTTCACTTGTCCTCATGTGGCTGTATGATATTGTCTTAGATGAACATACCCCATTGTGTTTACCCACACTCCTATTGGGTTGTTTTGGTTCTCAAGCCTGGGCTGGCTCTCAGCATCTCTTCCTTCTGTAGGATGAGAACATGGTGAGCTTCATCAAGGGCGGCATCAAAGTTCGAAACAGCTACCAGACCTACAAGTGAGTGGGACTTGCCAGCAGGAGGGCTGGGAGGCCTGGGACCGCGGCATCTACTACCCTGGGCTGCTTTGTAGGAGGCAGAGAGTATTGGCTGGGGGCTGGAAGTTCAGCGTGCTGAGCTCAGGCAGATTTCTGCACCCCCAGTGTCTTAGTGTTCTGAAATAATATCCCCCTGGTTTTCTGGCTGTGTCTGTTCCTTTGATCTCCTGAGTGCCTTCTCTGTGGCTGAGCCTATGCTAGGGAAAAATTAGACCCAGATTTCACACAAATATCTTGGTCTAGTGGAGGCAGGGAGACAGACCCAAGAACAGTCATTCGAGGAACAGCAGAATTCATACATATCCATGAAGGCCATGATCCTTTCCCCATGAAGCTTTTCTCAACTCCTTTAGTAGTCAGATTGTACACACACACACACACACACACACACACACACACACACCCCACCCTTGAGGGCCAGAATCATTTTCATGCTCTGTGGATCCCTGACTTTCAGCCGTGGGCCAGACATAGATTGTGTTTATGAATGAAAGAATGAAGGTACAATCAAGAGCACTTTTACCCAGTATGTCTCCACAGTTCTTTATCTATAATCCAGCATCAAWTAAAGCTCTGAAAACTCAGTATCCCCCTAAATTTTACATTAAAACTTATTTCCCATGAAAGTGTGAGACTACTTATCTTCACCTTTCCCATGTAATGTGACTCTTTCCCTGCAGATAAGTGTTGCTCATCAGTGTGACAAGTGTGGCTGGGGTGGAGCACAGGATTTGTCCAAGGAGCCAGACAAGTGCTCTGGCCCCACAGCCTGCCTGTCAGCTGTCAGAATGATGTCTCCAAAACATGGCTAGGTCACCTCTTGCCAACTCCTGAGGCTCCTTCTGCTCTGAGAAGACTCTTGGTCACTATCCAGCCATTCCTGGGAGCTCTTCCCTACCTTCCTTGCCAAATCCTCTCCTCTACTTTGCCTCAGACTTTGGGCCTTCACCCAGTTCTTCAGATATGCCCAGCTGAGTCCTGCTTCAGGGCCTTTGGATATGATGTTTGGTCAGAAACACTCTGTACCAGGCTAGCTCCAACTCACCCCTTAGATTTTCAGCTCAAATGTCACCTCCTAGCTAAAGACTTTCTGATTCCCAGATGAGACTGGGCCCAGGGCTTTCCCTCTGAGGTTCTCTTCACTCTTTCAGAGACTTGATGGAGCTGCCCCATAGAAGGTGGGTGCTATGGGGCTGTGCTTGGTCGTTTTGTTGCCTGCAGTCTTCTAGTGCCTGGAGCTGAGAAGCCTCAGTGGTGCTTGCCAATCAAAAACTCATAAGACGTTGATAGTCCAGGAAGGAAGCAGACACTTTATATATATATWTYTYTTTKWGAGAGAGAGAGAGAGAGAGAGAGAGAATTTTAATTTTATTTTTTTAGTTTTTGGTGGACACAACATCTTTGTTTGTATGTGGTGCTGAGGATCGAACCCGGGCCGCACGCAGGCCAGGCGAGCGCACTACCATTTGAGCCACATCCCCAGCCCCAAGCAGATACTTTTTTAAAATACTGGGAATTGAACCCAAGGGTGCCAAGGGTGCTTAGTTGCTGAGCTATATCCCTTTTCTTTCTTCTCTTTTTCTTTTTTTCTTTCTTTCTTTCTTTTTTTTTTTTTTTTTTTTTTTTGAGACAAGGTCGCTAAATTACTGAGGCTGGCCTTGAATTTGAAGTCCTCCTTCCTCAGCCTCCCAAGTTGCTGGAGTTATAGGCATGTGCCATCATGCCTGGCAGCAGGCACATCCTGAGAATCTCTGGCTTAGCCTGGGCTAAGGGATCTTTAGTTGATGACCAGGAAGAAAGGGTTGGATTCCAACCAAGCAAACTCTTAGAAGATTTCCTGAGGGAGGGRGCTTTCAAGTTAGCCAGTGGTTCTCACCTGGTGGTAATTATGTCCCCTGCAGATGTTTGGCAAAGTCCCACTGGGGAGAGGATGCTACTGACATCCAGAGGGTGGAGGCTGGAGATGTACTAAACAATGCAAGAGACTGCCCCAGTTCTGCTCCCTTGCTCCAACAAAATTAGCTAGCCTACCTAAACTGTCAGATTGAGCAACTCTGTTCTAGTCAGAATGCACAGCATGAACACATGCCTGAAAGACAGGGCGAGGCGTGCTAAGGTCAGTGTGGCTGAAATTCAGGGTGAGGAATGTGTTGTCATGGTGAGAGATGGTTAGAAATTCTTTGAGTATCAGCTCTCTGGATCTCTAGAACTGTGTAAATCTACCACCAGGGAGTTAGATCAGGCTAAAGTGTAGTTGACCTTGGGCCCAGCTGGAAGGGACCCCAGCTTCTGCCCCCAGCATGTGACTGAAACAGAGCTTTGCCTGTTCCCACAGGGAATTGGACAACCTTGTCCAGTCCTCACAGTACTGCAAGGGATCGAGCCACAGGCACTTTGAAGGAGGAGTGAAGCTTGGTGTAGGAGCCTTCAACCTGGTGAGTGGGAGTCCCCTCTCCCCATTTCCACAGTGTCTGGGTTCCAGATAAGTCTCCCCTGCATGTTTCTGCCATGTGTGGTCACTACTGAGTGCACCATGTTTGGCTATGTGCCAGGCACCAGGACCCAGAGATAAACCTCACATATCACCAACCTTCAGAGGCTCAGAACTGGGGCGTGGGTGGAGGGTGCTGGACTCGGCTCCAGAGACTCCATCTGTGCATCTGTGTGTCAAATTGGTGGCTCAAAATTTACCATGGGGGAAAACCATTATAGCACTAGAACTTGAAAAATCAGTTACATCAGGCCTTTAATGACAAGGAAAGCAACAGGCCTGGAAATAGCTGGTGACCAACAGAGGACCGAGAGCCTAGTCCTTTTCCAGGAGAGCTGGGGAAGGTTTTTCTGGGAGACAGATTAAGCATCTGGCTGGATCTTGAAGGATCCATGGAGTTTGCAGATTCGGAAGGGTATTGCAGGCAGAGGGGACAGTGTGTGCTCAGACAGGGAGACTGGGAAGCACTGCTCTTAGGAGGTGTTGCTGCTCAGGTCCCTGCCACATAGGACTAGGGACCTTTCCAAAGGCATGTGTGTCGGGGAAGTTAGGTCTCTGCTGTCCAGAAGTCTATTCAAAGAGCAGGCCGTAGGGTGGGGTTCCCTGTCTACACTGGGGTGCCCTCATTGTACCCAGCTGTCTCTGTTCCTGCAGACATTGTCCATGCTTCCCACTAGGATCCTGCGGCTCCTGGAGTTTGTGGGGTTTTCAGGAAATAAGGTAAACACTTGCCTTTTAGTGCCTTTGTCCTGCTCTGCCCCAGGACTGAAGCTGGGCTTGAAAGGGTGCAGCTGAGGACCTAGGTGCCAGTCCAGGCTCAGCCTCCCTCAGTGTGTAACCCTGGAGAAAGCCCAGATCTCTGAGTCTGCCTTCACTCCATTCTGGTCCTATGGGGCAGTTGATCCCTCCCTGGCCCCTTACATGGAGGAGAGGCTCTGGGGTGAGGGTGGGTGTGAAGGGCAGCCCTGAGGGACCTGGAGTTCTTTTCCCCTCTGATTCTTCCTCACTTCAAGGCTTTGAGCAAGTCCTTCCCTCCAGGACAATTGTTTGGTGCTCCCACCTCATCTGGGAGATACCCAAGGGAGCCATCCTGGGCTTCAGAACATGAGAGGGAACCAGAGAACTTGAGCACCCAGAAGCCTTACTGAGAGCAGGAACTTGAGTTACCTACCAGCCCCCATTGAGGGCTCTCTGGTGGAGGAGGCTGGTGGTGTGGAAGGAGCACTGGCTTGGAGGTCAGGAGCCTCATGCCCTTCCTGCGACCCTGAGCAAGTTCCTGCCTCCCCTGAGTCGCCTCTCAGTGAAACAAGGGATCCCTGCGGGCTGGATAAGAGTTGCTCAGAGGTGCACTGTCTCTGGCCCTTCCTGACATCTGCCCTGCCCGTGGATCTCCATGGTATTATTTAGATACTTTTCTCAAAAGTCACTCAATTTTCACTTGAATTTTAATGAAACCATATTACATGAAGTGTATATTATTTGGCTAGAACATTATTATAAAAAAGAACATTATTATAAAAAAACTACGAGAGCCACACAATCTTATGAAATAGTGACTCCCTAACTCAACCTCAGGCTGCTTCTCTTTGTGAGAGGGAATTTAGGGCAAGAGTTTGACACATGCCAGCATGGGCCTGGAGCGTTCCTCTAGATACCATCAGGGCAGAGAGAGCCAAGGAGGGAGATTGTTACCTGAGGCTTGGTGGTACTGAATGCTGTCTTTGGGCCCTCGAAATTTGGGTTGTCAACCAGGCACAGTGGTGCACAGCTGTAATCCCAGCAACTTGGAAGTCTGAAGCAGGAGCATTGTAAGTTTGAGACCAACCTCAGCAATTTAGTGAGGCCCTAGGGACTTAACGAGACCTTGTCTCAAAATGAAAACAAAAGACAGGGCTGGGGATGTGGCTCAGTGGTTAAAYGACCCTGGGTTCAATTCCTGGTGCCAAAAACAAACAAACAAAATAAAATAAAAAAGAAAAAGGAATCTTTTTTTCTTTTTTTTTTTTTTGGTTATCATCTGTGGTCCATGACTGGAGGCTTCAAAGGTCCATCCTGTCAGTTTTGCTGATGGCAGGTAGGGTCTCAGGGTGCTGATGAAAGAAAGAGTATGAGAAAGGCCCAGGGTGGGATAGGTAACCCTAACCTGCAGCATCCAGCCTAGGCTTTGTCCCAAAGGCAGAGTAGCCATAGAGAGTTTGAGGCAGGTCAGGTTTGTGTTTTAGGAAGGACACAGGAAGGACAAGAATGCTGCAGACTACAGACTGAGGGGCAGGGACTACAGGAGGGTCTGGCCTTGCCTCTCCCCAAATTAGGCTCTGGAGGCTTCTCCCCCAGGAAGCCACCCAGACTYGTGGCCCCACCTGTGCCCCGACCTTGTGGTTAGGATTTTCCTTTCACCACTCCTCCTTCCAACATGACCAAGCTACTTGGCTCTCAGAGCCCACCACAAGGCTGACAGTAGATGCATACAGGGAGAAATGGGAAGGGACTGTGGGAGAGGTGGGTGACATCCAAGACCCAGGCAACCCTTTATCCTGGCCTTAGCAGCGGTGTCCCCCACCCCGCCCCCAAGGTGGCTGAGGCACTGAGAACGCAACCCTTTGCTCAGGGTCACATAGCCTGGGGGCAGCTGCTGTGGCCTCCAGGTTTCCAGACAAGCCTAGTGCTCTCTTGCCCCTGCTTCAGCAGTCCAGACTCCCAGGCCCCTGGCTCTCTCTGGGAACCTCAGCCTGTCCTCCTTTCCCCCAGGACTATGGGCTACTCCAGCTGGAGGAGGGCGCYTCGGGACACAGCTTTCGCGCTGTGCTCTGTGTCATGCTGCTGCTGTGCTACCACACCTTCCTCACCTTCGTACTTGGTAGGAGCCCTACATGGGGCCCCGGTCTAGTGGTATCCAAGGATCAGAGGTTGCAAACTATGTTCAGGCCTGTGGGATGGGGGYGGGTTACTGAAACCAGAAATAACAGAGCCACATTGACTATCCTGAGGCTAGCCTGCTGGCCACTCAGTTCCTTCCAGTGTAACCACATTCCAGCCACAGTTTCCTCATCTGCAAAATGGGCATGATTGTGCCTACCTTGCAGGGAGTGAAGATGCTGTCTCTGTGTTTCTGGACACAAACTTGGCAGATTTTGGCACCTGACTGTTGAGCCCTGTGATGTGTGATATCTGCATTATCTTATTTAATTCTTATGTTGCCTGAGATAGGAAGAATTATCATCCCTATCTCAGAGAGTAGGAGGTAGAGGCCCTAGGAAGGCCCTGGTAGGCTGCTGGGAAGAATACAGGAGCCTATGATGGTAATGTTTTATGCTCCCCTGGCTACCTCCTCCAGGTACTGGGAATGTCAACATYGAGGAGGCAGAGAAGCTGTTGAAGCCCTACCTGAATCGATACCCCAAGGTGAGCCCACATTTAGCCAAGCACCCCCAAGCGCATGAGCACACCACAGACCCATACATACCTTATGTATTTCATTGCAGGGCGCCATTTTCCTGTTCTTTGCTGGGCGGATTGAAGCCATCAAAGGCAACATTGACGCTGTGAGTGTTGGGGGTCTCTTGGGGACTCCCTTTCCAGCAGGAAGTCAGGCAAACAGAAGCATCCTTAGTGGATAGAGCAGACTTGTAATGGGACCCCAAGAGAGGACCTACGCAAGTGTAGGGTAGGAGATTCGCTTCTAACTAACGCAGTCTGGGAAGATGAAGGAGGACATGGCATCTGTACTGTAGGATTTTTTTTCTTTCCATTTTTTTTAATGGTGTGTTAGAGTTGTACATAATGATTTGTTGTGCTGTATGATATTCTAGGTGAGGGGGATGCTTAAGGGAGGTGGAGAGTAGGAAAGGCCATTTGATCAGAGCATGGTGAGGCTGGACCCTGGTGAGTAGAGTGTTATTGCCAGGGGCTGAGGGGAGCCAGGGAGAGTTAGAGATGGGAAGGGTCACAGTACTGGTAGAGATTCCAGCACTAAGTCAAGGCCCACAGCAGATTCTACAATGTGGAGTGCTGGGGTTTCTAGCTGGCCCTGGTAGGACAAATATTCCAGGCACAGGTAATCTTATAGAGGCTACTGATAGACATTATTTTATCACTGTCATGTTAATTCCTTCCACTTCCTGTTATCCCCTCCAGTGTAGCTCTGTCCTACCTTTTCATTTTGTGACTGAAATCTAGAGTCCCAAAGAGGGGCAGTAATGGGCCCAAGGACATATAAGACTTAGGTGGGTAGAACCAGGACAGAAAGAAGATCTCCTGGCCCCACCCAAGCCTGGCACAGGGCTGGACCACCATGCACTGGAGGAGGTCAGGTCTGCTGTGGAGGTGGAGGTCTCAAAGGGTGCAGAGGGTGGGGCAGGACACACCAGGCTGACGCAGAGGTGTCCACAGGCCATCCGGCGGTTTGAGGAGTGCTGCGAAGCCCAGCAGCACTGGAAGCAGTTTCACCACATGTGCTACTGGGAGCTGATGTGGTGCTTCACCTACAAGGGCCAGTGGAAAATGTCCTATTTCTATGCCGACCTGCTCAGCAAGGAAAACTCCTGGTCCAAGGTGGGTTGACTTCCTGTGTCAGGGTACTGGGATGCTCAGGCTGACCCACACTGGCCATGAGTCCCTAGACCAAGAGCTAACCCCCTGGCTGAACAGATGTGCCAGATGGAATCTAAACAGGACCATACCTTCTAGTGGAACCCAGAGTTTGAAGGAACTAAAACCATGAGGAACAGAGAAACTTGTTTTTTGTTTTTTTGTTTTTTCTGGTGCTAGGAATTGAACCCAGAGCTTTGCACATGCCAAGTTTGCATTCTGCCACTGAGCTACATCCCCAGAATTATGTCAGTCAAGATTTTTGGTCACAAGGAATAGAAACATGGCTTACATGTSTAGGCAAGTGCTGTCCAATAGAACTGCCTGGCTCTTTCCATTTCGTTCACATCACAACCAAAGGAAAAGTTGCCATCTCCATTGAGCACATGCCAGACTCTGAGGCTGACTTTCCTGGCCCACTTAGCTGTTGGTGATAAATCCTGGATTTGAGATCAGTTCTCTGAGACTCAGGGGCCTCTGCTCTTCCCTCACTGCTCTAGTCATCCCAGGGAGGCTGGCTTGCCCTGAGACTACTCTGTTGTTGGGGGCTTTCTTGGGCCCAACCCTTGTAAGCCCACCACACCCATGCCTCATCACCTCCCACTCTGAGTAGAACTAAGCCTCGGGAACCTTTTTGAACTAAAAGTGACTGTGGAAGCCTTCCTGTGCAGTGAGGTGGCAGGTGGGTTCACCCACTTGGGGGAGACGGGGCATGGGGCATCTATACAGCTGCTGTGAGGAGCAGTAGGAGGGCCAAGTCTCCCAGGTGTCAGGACATCTCTGGCTGTGACAACCAGCTCAGTCCCCAGCTTACTGAGTTTTTTGGGGTCTGTAAGTCCCTATCTATCTATAAYACTGTCAGGGGGGTTTCCTATAGAAAATGGGGGTTGTAGCACCCTGAGTCCTGGGGCTTATCCATTCCTAATCTTTAGCACGTGGTCACCACAGTGTCAATCAATGTCCTACTCTAGGGATTTGGCCTGTGACCATTGTCATATGTGTCATATGTGTCACCTTCTCTACTCAGATTTCTCTCTGCTTGGACCCTTCAAAGGCAACCCTGTGAAGATCTTTGAGTTTCTCCAGTGCTTAGCCTAGGAATTGAGATGGTCAGAAATTTGGTAGTGACATCTATGCACTTAATAATATAAAGGGGGAATGAGAGCAGCTCTGAGGCAGCCCAGAGGACTAGGAAGGCCTCAAGAAGAGGAGCTCTCTGAGCTGAGCCTTGGAGGAGGAGCTAGTGTGATGGAGTGGAGGAAGTGAAAGGGACAGCAAGAGCAAAGGCTTGGGCCAAGAGGTTCTGTGTTACCAGGACGGGGGCACTGAGGGGTATGGGGTGTGAGTGCAGGGACACTAGAGAGTCCTTCCTCCTCTGAGCCACTTGCCATAAGCTTTTTTTAAAAAAAGAAATTATTTTTTAGTTTTTTGGTGGACACAATATCTTTATTTTACTTTATGTGGTGCTGAGGAAAGAACCCARTGCCTTATAAATGCTAGACCAGCACTCTACCACTGAGCCCAACCCCAGCCAACCATATGTAAGCTTCTTGATGACAATTACTTTCTGCCTTGCACAGACCCTGTACTGTAATCCAGCAAGGTAAATGTTTGTGGAATCAAAGAGCGAACCGTCAGGTACCTTGGGGAGAAGGGACTCCCAACAGGGGAGGTGGCTGCTATGTTCTACAACATCCCTGGATAATTTGAATGTGTACAACTCCAGGTCACAAATCCATCCTAGCTCCTGGTAGCATAGTGAGGGCGAGCTGTCTGGGAGCGAGTAGAGAAGGCTCTTAGGAGAATGAGACCGACAGAGGAGAGTGGCATACTGGGCAGAGGAACAGTGCAGGCAAAGAGTAATGGAGAAGAAATGGCAGYAGATAAGCCAGAAAAGGAGTTTGGGGCAGGTGGTGAAGATCTCCAGTGACTTTTGGGGCTTTATGGTAACATCAGGGGTAAGGACAGCCCTTGAATGCTAGTGGTTTACAGATTTGTGCATTCTGGGCACCCCCAAGTGCCAGGTCCTGTTCTAGGACAGAAATACAAGAGTGAATAAAGTAAAGACCCTGCTCAAGGCTAATATCCTAGTTGATGTATATACATCTACATATATAGATGTATAATGCATCATTATGTTGATCCCCTTCTAATGTATGGGTAGTCAGGGATGCCTGTCAGGGAAGAAACTGGAATGTGCTGAAGGGGCAGGCCTTTCTATTACTTCAGACAGAGGAGCCAGAAGCTGTGGTGTACACCTGTAATTCTAGTGGCTCGGGAGGCTGAAGCAGGAGGATGGCGAGTTCAAAGCCAGCATCAGCAACAGTGAGGCGCTAAGCAACTCAGTGAGACCCTGTCTCTAAGTAAAATACAAAATAGGGCTGGGGATGTGGCTAGTGGTTGAGTTGGCCCTGGGTTCAATTCCTGATACTGATACCCACCCCCTCAAAAGAAAGGACCTTCAAACAGAGCGAGCTGTGGATGCAGTAGGCTGCAGATAAAGCCTGGTCGGAAAACAGGGAAACACACTATTCAGGGAATAGCTCAAGGCCTGTGGCAGGAGTGAGTGAGTGAGGGGGAGACTGTAGGAGATGAAGTAGGAGAGTGGGGAAAACTGAATCTCATAGTCCATGGTGTGGGTAATGGCTTGCAGGGGAGTAGAAATGGGAGCAGGGAGCACAGGAGACCATGTGGACTAGGAGTACAGCCTGCAGCGGGGAGGGGGGGGGGGCTGGTGCAGTGAATGAGGGGTGTCTGTGGGAGCAGGGCCTGTGAGATTCAAGGCTGGACAGGAGGTAAAGTCACTGGGAACTGGGCGGGGCAAAGGGAGAGAGCTAGAGTGTGCTGGGGAACAGGTTTCCACAAGGGGGAACTTCCCATCAGCTTTTTGACGTTGTGAAGGGTTGACTGAGGCGCGGGCTCAGCGTGGCTGCCAGATGGAAGGCTGCTTTCTGCCTCCTCCAGAGATCAGACTCCAGGATGTCCTGCTCCTATTTCTTTCTTGGCTACTGGAAGGTGTTTTCCTTGGCAGCAGCCCCAGGAGGCATGAGCTGTGGTTCAAGGGTGGGCCACTTGAGGGCAGCACGCAGCTGGGCAGCACGGAGCCAGGCAGCACCCAAYCGGGCGCCTCTCCCATACACTTCCGGGGGAGGGCGTGCGCAGGCGCGCAGGGATCCTGTTCCGGACTGGGCTGCCACCTGTCTGTACTGCACAGTCCCACCTCCAGTGCTTTGTTCGGGCCACTCTTTGTTGGCTGGAAGGCCCCTTCTTGTGCCTCTGTGAATCTTATGTTCTTCAAGAGTCCATTCCTCAGTCGCTGCATCCCAGAAGCCCTGATGCTCTTGCTGTCTTTGTCTCCATCCCAGCTACTAGTTGCTTGGTCCTTCTCTCCACTGCTTCAGGATGGAGGGGATGACTGCTTTGACATAAGATCCTCCAGGATTTAACTCCCAATTCAATTCATAAAGTTACTTCAGCTTCCTCACTGTCACTTTCTCCCCAGGGGCTTCGGGAGAATGTTGGGCCACAGTGAGCTCTGAATGAGGAATTTGTGCCATTCTGGAACAGTGACTGGCAGGAGGGTTACTCACATTTGTCTCTTGCTGTCTCACAGGCCACCTACATCTACATGAAGGCCGCTTACCTCAGCATGTTTGGGAAGGAGGACTATAAGCCCTTTGGGGATGATGAAGTGGAGCTATTTAGGTAGGTCCTGCCATCCCACTGTGGACAGACCAACCAGGCTTCTCTCACAGCTGATGAGGGTAGCAGAAAGGGGYCTGGTGAGGTGGCCATCTCCTCCAGCTCTGGGCTTCCTGTCCAGAGAGTGTTCACAGCTTGTCATCTCCTGTCACCCACTATGACGCTGCTGGTCAGAAYCCTTTGAATGCCCAGGTTTCCTTTCATAAGTGGTTCTGTAGACTTTGTCTACCACTCAGCCTCTTCCATCTGGTCAGTAAAACAGAGGTGGACACTGAAACCTACAGAGGGGCAGGTCCTCCTTCAGCTGAGTTAGCCTGATGCACTCCAGAAGCACAGTAGAGAGCCCACCCCACAAATGAGGACCAAACCAACAAGGTTAAATCCAGCCTGTGCCTTTTTTCCCCCTGTGGTACAAAGGATTGGATTTGAGAGTGCTCTACTACTGAGCTACATCCCCAGCCCTCTTTGTTTTTGAGAACAGGATCTCACTAAGTTGTGCAGGCTGGCCTCAAACCTGCAATCCTCCTGCCTCAGGATCCTAAGACTCCTGCCTCAGGAATCCTAAGTGGCTGGGATTACAGGTGTGTGTCACCATGCCTAGCTCAGCCTGTGCCATTTCTTAGCAGTGTCACCTTGGACAGTTTCAGCATCATAAATCTTGCAGGGTTATTGTGTGACAACTAGATAATATATTTAAAGTGCCTGGCATAGGACCTGGAGCCAAGTGGTGCTGTTTTCATTCTTATCTGTACCACCTGTTTGCCTCCGTAGGCAAAAAGGTTGTTAAGGGAAAGCTCCTTTAGCTGTGGCAGGCTAAAGATGGGAGTCTAGAGTCTTCCTAGGGTCATGATGAGGTTGGCTGAACCTAATTTGCAGACTTGGAAGTGGGTATAATATGAACTTCCTGGACTGTCACATACAGCATGTATCACTTATGGAGTGCCTGCTACTATAGCAAACTCCATATCCAGTCCCATAGAACTCTTCCAGAAGGCCTGAAAAGGGTAGGTATCATTAATACTATAGAAATGAGAAAACTGAGGCTCAGAGAGRTTCCTTCCAGCATGAAAGGCATTTGGGGTGGCCTCATTCCTATGTCCAGGCTGTTTCTGGAGCCTAAATGTCTCAGGCCTGAGGTCCCACCTGGAGGGTGGGAGAGCTGGTGGGTGAAGATCCAGATATGGAGGTGTGCTTAGCTGCATACTGCATATTATTCTGTCCTTGGAAATACCTGAGGAGGCTAAAGCTCGAGAGATTGGAATTAATTAAGGCTTTGAGCAGTTTGGTCTAGGTAGGTCCTACCCTTTTTCTGGGTGTTGGTCTCCCCTGTGAAACTAGAATTAGATTTCCATTGGGTCCTCCCAGGAAATGGAGCCTGGGAGTAGAGGAGCAATAAGCCTAGTAGCATTTGGGTATATTCTTACCTTCACTAGCCACAAACCCCTTGTCTAGCCAAAGGAAGTAGCCAGGTGGTGAGAATAGGGCCTATGAAATAAGACTATAGCCAGAGGCTGTTTCAACCTGGAAGGCTCTTAGAGTCACTCTTTTCATACAGATGGGAAAACAGGTCCAGAGAGAGGGACCAAGTAGAGGCTGGGTAGCCTGGGGACCCTCAGTGCTTTCWTGCTTTTTCTCATTTCTTCCCCACCCTCCTTGTCTCTTTCTCAGAGCTGTGCCAGGCCTCAAGCTCAAGATTGCTGGGAAATCTCTACCCACAGAGAAGTTTGCCATCCGGAAGTCCAGGCGCTACCTCTCCCCAAACCCTATCTCATTGCCAATCCCTGCTCTGGTGGGTAGGAAGGTCTGGCTTGATCCTGCCCTTGGGTTTGAGATTGTGAGGATTAGATGAGAGCCACTGCCTGTGGGAAGTACATGAGGAAACTTTCATGTCTCTGAGCCTGGAGAGGGTTTCACAGTTCACCTGGGATTGAGGGTAGGAACAGAGATGAACTGACCTGGCCCTGAACCTGAGAAAAGTTCTGGTCTTGGGGCATGGGGAGGAGATACCTCAGGGCAGAAAGAGCAGTTCTTAGGCCATAGCCTGGTCCCTAGGCAGAGGCATCAACCTGACTGTCCTCTGTTCCCAGACTATTCCAGTTCTGTCACATGATGATAATAATTGTTGCTCATGCTGGTGTCCCCTTCATTAAACTAATCTTTTTTGAGGGCTGGAGTCTCAGCCCATGTCATATTTAACTGTGAACAAAAACTGTGTGGCTGGGGTATTAAGGCCTAAAAGATGAACTTACTTGTCCAGTTTTCTCAGCTAGTAAATTGGAGTCAGAATTTGAATTCAGCAGCATGGCTTCAGAACCTGTATTCTGAGCCACTGTTATAAAGCTAATTCAGTGCYTGATTTGAGCTGGCATCAGATAAACTTCCCCTTAGCTAAAAATCATATTGTTATTTAACTAGTAAGGCAGGTAGAAAAGTAGGAACCCTGATTTAGAGACCCGAAGCCAGCTCCACTACTCACTAATGCATACCTTAGGTAGCATTCTTCTTCAATATAAACCTGATAATATGTGTCTTGTCTATTTCCACAGACAATTAAACACTTTGTAACTTGAAAAGCTCAATATTTATAATTTTATTTAGAGCCTGAATGTTTTTAAATGTTAAAAAATTTTACAATTAAAAATATATAGTAAAGCTGTTATTATCAAATGGAGGAAAGTATTGTAGGAAGGGCAGAAGATGCAATTTTACTGAAAAGTTAGGGAAGAATTTTCCCAAAATGTAATCTGCAAAACACTATTTATGCAGAAAATAGTTTCAGTGATTAAATACATTGAGAAAGTGAGCCTAAACAAAGTTGATATGTTGTAGACTTTCTTGGAGATTTTTTATGCTGATCTAAATGATAGGTTTCCAAGAAGTAGCCTAAAGATATGTATGATTTTTCCCCTTATTTGGGCACAAAACCCCCCTCTTTTTAAATGGGATATTGGCTAACTTGGGACAATAGAACAATTTGAGAAATACTGGTCTAAATTCAAATTCCCTTCCTAGAATATAATAACTGCAACAGTATCTTTCTAGAACTTTATACAAATTACATTCCAATACTTGGTTTGATCCTTTAGGAAATGCTAATCTAAGCTAACAGTTACTTGAATGCAAATTTAATATCCTGAGCTTCCTGGAAGTCAAGGCAAAACAACAACAAACAGCAACAAAATGGAATCAGGATATATTTTATAGTCTTCATGATAGTAATGCAATTCTAAAGGAAATGGAATGTGAGTTGCCATTATTGAGCTCATTGGGGAGGACAGGAGAAAACAAGACAGTATTAAATTCTATTATCCCAAAATACTTAAATGAATTATGGCTCCTCGAATATAAGGAGTCCCTGCTGGCTGGAAAAGAGGATTTCTTATAGGCTGGGACATGGCCTGGTCTTTAGAAATGCCAGGTTTGGACAGAGGTTGGAAGAAGACATAACAGTACCCAGGGAAGCCACAGAAAAGTAGATGAAACATATTGGTAGTTATGAGCAGAATAGTGAGGATATTGAATCCTCTGCCCCACTGCCAGTGATAGGGCCTGTTGCATGTTAGGCAAGCGCTCTACCACTGAGCTGTTGTACCCCCTTCCCCAACATTGGGCCATCTTAAATTCCTGACTGGGGTTAAGGTGAGATCTCAATAATATATGATGAAGTTCCCTCCATACCACTCTCAAGCCCACAACTTTACAGGCTGGGCTGAAACCTGGTTGAGAAATTAGAAGGGATYGTGAGATCCTCTGATCTGAGCTTTCATTTTATAGATGGAAAAACTAAGTCCCCATTTAGGGCCGAAATGTAGGACTGACTTGCCCTATCCCCTGCCCTCAGGAAATGATGTACATCTGGAATGGCTATGCTGTGATTGGGAAGCAGCCGGAACTCACAGATGGGATGCTTGAGATTATTACCAATGCTGAAGAGATGCTGGCAAAGGGCCCAGGTGACTACACTCAGGCCCTTGAACCTGCCAGGCTAGGGAAGGTCTTTACAGTTGAAGATTCCCTCAGCCAAAAATGCTTTTCCTCGCTTCTCTATTCTGGTAACTGTCCTTTTTTCTTTCTAGACTGACCTTAAATGTCAGCTCCTCCAAGCAGCTATCCTTTGTCCCCTTGTCAAGGCCTCTCCTCTAGGCTTCCACAGCCCTGGGCTTCCTTCTGTCATGCCTGATTCTCTGTATTGTCAGTCTCAGTATCTTTTTTTCCTACTCAGATGTGAACTCCCCTCCCCCTAGGACAGGGACTGTGTGATTCACTCTTATCTCCTGGGCCCTACAGAATAGGAGCTCCCCAAGTAATGAAGCAGAAATGACTAAGCCTATATCTTCTTTCCTTACACCCCTGTTCTCAGAGAATGAGTACTCAGCAGATGATCAGTGCTTGGTGAAACTGTTGAAAGGCCTGTGTCTGAAATACCTAGGCCGTATCGAGGAGGCTGAGGAGAATTTCAGGAGCATCTCTGCCAAGTAAGTACCTCTGGCTGCTCCTGCTGGGCCTCGGCCTCCTGGGAAGAATTTCGGGGGACTCCTCCATCCTCATGTAGCTGACARCAGCCAACCCCATTCACCCATGTGTACTACTGTCTACTCTGCTGGGTACAGAGAATTCAGACCTTGACCTCCAGGCTCACCAAATCATACAGCCATGTTTCCAGTGAACAGTGCCCTGGTAAAGTTTGTAATTCAGCAGCATGGGAAGCAACATATTAGAGATGGAAATCTATGGCAACCCAGCCTAGGGCTATGCTGGAGGGAAGCAGAGGATACCTGGAGGAGGGATCTAAACCTATTTGGAAATGCTAGAAAAGGCTTTCCAGTGCTGATTATTTAAATTGGGAAGTTTATCAGGCAGAGAAAGTAAGGGAGAAAGTAGGTACAGCCTGTGCAAATGCCTGGACGCAGGATAAACACCTGAGATAGGGGTAACAGTGGTGAGATCCTTTGCTGCATAAGTGAAGCTATAGAGAGAAAAGGGTATAACGTGAAATAAAGAAGGCTGCATGTTCTTTTGCATAAGGCTAAACTATCCTGCAGAGGAGAGCCAGGAAGGATACTGGACAAGGCAGATTTGTGTTTTAAAAGTATGACTCAGGGGCAGCATAGAACATGGGTCAGAGCCAGAAGACTTCCCAGTTTAATAAACTATTCAGCCTGGAGTATGCAGTTGGTATTGAGGCAGGGGATAGGCTAAGTATAGACAGGACACATAGATTGTCAGGAGCCTTAGGGTATAGAACTAGAAGGCTCCCCTGTGGAATCCAACCTTTCTAAGGTTAGGTAGTGGCAACTTTCCCAAATTGGAATGCAGGTCAGGAAATCCTCATATGAAGYTCTTGGGAAACTACAGAGGAGGACCTGAAGGACACCTCAAGGGCAAAAATTTGTAAGCCATGCCTTCTTCTGTTCTGCAGTGAAAAGAAGATTAAATATGACCATTATTTGATCCCAAATGCCCTATTGGAACTGGCCCTTCTGTTTATGGAACAAGGCAGAAACGAAGAGGCCATCAAACTCCTGGAGTCAGCCAAGTAAGGCTTGGGTAACCTCCATCTGTCCTTTGCTCACTCTGAGCTCAGAAGCTGGGCAGGAGGAAAGGAGCCCTCAGGAAGCAGTGAGAGAGGTTTCTTGGGGAGGGCATACAGTCCAGAGGCCAATCATGTATCCCTAGGTACCCAGCTCTGCACTATCATAGGAAAACTACTTCCTCAACTTAATTGGAATCCCAGAGGAAATGGGCTACCAAGGACTGGCGTGAGGACCCAGGTCTCCTGCCTTTTAGTCCAGGGATATATCTCCTGAAACCACCCCTTCATGTTTAGGGACCCAACAGGACCAAGAACTGTTCCAAAGGGCATGATACCAGGGTGAGGGGGCACACACCCTCTGGGTATACCTTCCCTTGGCTAGGACTCCACACTCATATGGATCAGTCAGGGATTTGAGTCTCTAAAACATAACAGGGGAGAAGCTCAAATAGAAAAAAGAAAAGAGACCTCCCAGAGCAGCTTCTTATATCTAATTTTCTGCTCACTTCCAGGCAAAACTACAAGAATTATTCCATGGAGTCAAGGACGCATTTTCGAATCCAGGCAGCCACACTCCAAGCCAAGTCTTCCCTAGAGAATGGCACCAGATCCATAGTCTCATCAGTGTCCTTGTAGCTTTGTGTAGCATTCCTGGGCTGCAAGATGAACAGAGACAGCTGGACAGAGCTCCTGGAAACATTTCAAAAGATTCCCTCCCCCTGCCCTGCCCTGCCTTTGGGGTCCACCGGTGCTCCAGTGGGATGGCACAGCAAGAGTATCCATGCAGAAGCAAAGCTGGCATTTTCACTAGTGTGGCCACATGCCTTTGCCAAGGGCAGAGCAGGTGGAGCCCTCTGCCTGCCCTATCACAAATACGGGTACTTGTTTTTCACTGTGATGTTTAAAGAGAATGTATGAACAGTTTACATTTTCCTTAGAAATACAATGATGGGATTATAGTTGGCTTTAAAAACAAAACCAACCAACCACCTGTAAACCTTTGTTTTCACCCACACTGATGTGGCAGTAAATCTTTTTAAGCCTCAGCAAAGACCTTCCTTTCAGAGGACCTAAAGAATATCCAGAGGGTCTGTGACTCTGAATTTGAGGTTCCTGGAGGTAGGGCACAAATGTCACACAGACACCTACTCTCATACTTCGTATCCCCCCCCTTAATAACTGTCCAACTGTCAAGCAGGTATTTTTAGGGAGATGAAGKTTGAGCCCATCTGTAGAAAAATCAATTCCCACCAGTAGGGAACAGGGATGCCAAGGCCCAGCAGAGGCACCTTGTAACCTTTGTGCGCCAAAACCAGKAACTTTGTGGGAAGTGAGGGAGGTGGTTTTCAGAAACCAGTCTGCATCCTTGCTATATGCCAAACTAAAACCACTGGGAATAATGAAACGAAAATATGTACTTCACTCCAAGGTATGTTTATTTACAGACAGCATTTTTCTTAGAAATAGAATGATTATTCTTGGCCTCTGTATTATGTTTTAGATTTTTCAGTGAAGAGATATTTAATAAAATTTATACACTTGAAGAGGTCATGCAACATCTATTTCAATAAAATATGTGTTGCTTGAATTCTTGGGCAGGGCAGAAAGTCTTGATTAGAAGCGACATGGCTCATGTCAACATTTTTTGAATAAGTTACCAACATAAAAATGAGAAGATTTTGCAAATGAATCTGGTTTCTGGCCTCAACATTGAGCCTCAATTCCCACAAGAGGACAATCAGCTGGAGTTAAGTAGAGACTACTTTAAAYACCACTTCTATCTTTCTGGCCCCTAACAGCATTTGAATTTGTAAGCTCTGGGACTGTTAAGTGAGAACTCAAGTTCGGTTACCAACAATTTTACTGGTCACATTCTAATGTCAGTACATTTCAACATAACTATTTAGYTAACAGTAAAAATATTCATCTGTAAAGAAGTGACTCCCCAGATGCATGAATGCAATTTCTATAAGAATCACAGCCATCTTTTTCAAATTTTCCAGAATTGCTGTTTAGCAAACACCTGAGCATCTGCCAGGGGTTGGGTTAATAATAATATACAATCAACCAGCCTCCTATGAGCAATGCTGAAAGGAATAACTGGTTTTAGCTAAAACACATTCTTACCAGAAAAAAAAAAAAAAAGACAACTCTTCATCCAATAACATCTTTTGCACTCTCAAAAGTGCTGTCAGAGTATAAACGCTGTGAAAAAATATTCTGTCCAAGAGAGAGCCAGTCCTTTGCAAGCTCGCTCTTCTCTAAAGCCTGGATGCTGGGAGACCAACCTGTTTTTAGGCTGTTGGACAGGACAAAGTGAGAGGGGTGATTGCTTGATGAGGGTGACGGTTTCCCTACATATTAGAACGCTGCCAAAGCAGCACTGGTCACAGTATCCTGACACATTATTTGCAAAATGCAGTTTAAAACAAAATAGGGGGACCGGGATTGTGGCTCAGTGGTAGCTGCCAAACATGTGAGGCACTGGGTTMAATTCTCCGCACCTTATATAAATGAATAAAATAAAGATCCCCAAAGAATTTAAAAAATAAATAGGGCTGGAGGTTGTAGCTCCGTGAAAGAGCACTGGCCTGGCATGTGTGAAACCTTGGGTTTGATCCCCAGCACCACAAAAAAAAAAAAAAAGAAAATCTCTCCTTGAATTAAGAAGGAAATTATAAAACAAAAACAACTTTATTTCAACATTCCTTTCAGCTGTTTTTTGCTTTAAATTTTTATGGGAGGATTGTTTCCTTTGCCAATATTTGTTACTACTGATTTCCTGTTGGGCTTCATTAATTGGCCTGTGTCACTTTTACCTGTTACCCTGGTTGCAAGCTGACTGATAATCAGTGGGGTTTTACCTCCCCTGTAGCTTCTGAGATAGTCTCCCCAAAAACATCCATGTGAAACAGTGAAAACACTGAGTCTAACAACATATCCAGCGGTCTCTGAAGGTGAAAATCCTGTCATGAGCTTCTTGATATCTCCTTAGAGTCATTTTGGTCATTAAATCTCTTAATACTGCTGATCTTTCTAGCACATCTGCCCTGCAGAGGCTGCTGATTAGTTTTGGCTTGGAAATTAGAAGATCTGAATTCTAGTCTTAACTTTGCTATTGACAAGGTGACCTTGGAAAAGCCACAGACTCTCAAAAATGGCAATTAGAGTAAGGCTCTGATTCCAACTCAGGGCAAGTCTGTTTCTTAGTTTTCATCTGCAAATAGAGGGAATAGATATACCTCCCTATTTTTCTGCTTGTCTTCACAAGCAGTTCAACCATAAACAAAGACTCCCTTAAACAGGAGTAGGATGAGGGAGGCGGAGCTCCACAATAGCCAGGATTCCAGAGAACAAGTAATCTTCATTTAGAAAAGGTCTAAATCCTGTGCCACACAGATGAACTCAGTTTTCAGGGAAGTAGCAACTGTGTAACAGGATCTGAACAGGCCCTTGAAAACACCAAGTTTACCTTGGCATCTCAACTGGTCACAAAGGCCCTCCTTCACCCTGGCAGGGTGGCTTGGCAGTGTGATGGTCTCTATCAGCTCTCCCACGTGTTGGCAGGTTTCCCTATTTCCTTATCTACTGAGTCAAATGGGAGTGTTTCCAAGACAGTTATCGTCATTCACAGCAAAAGCCACAACCTGACATCAAAGCCAGTTTTTAAAAGGCCAATATCAACCCAAGACTTGGCTGTGGTCCAGGTGGGAGATTCCAGCCTGAGTAGAACTAGGAGGTTTTCAGAAAGCAACAGCCTGTGGATTATTAGACCATTTAAGAAAGAAACTAAATCCACTTTTCCCTAGAATTATTCCCAAGTAAATTTAAGAAGATAGAARGCCAACAATCTTAGCTTGTTGCTTTCAAGTATACCAGTTGTATTTTATGTAACTACCCTATCAAGCAGGGACTATTGTTGCCATTTTATAGAATGAGAAAACCGAGACACAACTTACCTAAGATCATGTAGCAGAGAAGATTCAAATTCAGGTAGCTGAACTCATACTTTGCTAAACTACTGGTCAAGTTGTAAAATTCACTTCACAGATGGTCTCCCCAATGTACATTGRATCTTGGGCTTATGCCAAAGATGGAGGAGGTATTGGCTAATAACCACTGGAAATCCTTGGTTGGAACATATGGAATATGTTTGTGTCACCTGGTTCCCCTAGGCTATTTGGTATTTTGAGGTAGGAATGTGAATAATCAGAACAAAAACAAAAGGAAGAAACAAAAAAGTAATTGTACTCATAAAATCACTGAGGGATGTTAGAGAAAAGGGCATGATCTAATTCCCACTTGGATAGGTAGAGTTCAGTCAATAATTCCAGAGATGGGAAATGAAGCCTGCAAAGATCTGAGGCTTAAGAGGGGAGCAAACTATATTGTAGAAGAGGATTGCTATCAGACTAGAAGTTGGAACTTCAAGACAGTGGGAGATGTACAAAGCTAATCAGTAACTTTTAAACACTTATGAGTGCTTGGCTAGTCAAAACCATCACATCTGTGGGCCAAGTAATTCAGGGGCCATATTTTTATTTTTCCTTCTTTTCAGTGCTGAGAATTTAAACCAGGGCCTCATTCATGCTAGCCAAATTCTCTACATACTGAGCAACACCCTAGCCCTATGAACCAGAATTCTGTCACTCCTGGGCTAGAGTTGATTTACTGCAGTTATCTCTGGAAAAGGTGGTAAGCAGACCCACACAATGAGAAAGGTTGGCTTACTAAAAATACTCAACCTTTAGACTATGGAGCAGTGGATAAAAGCCGACTRTATTTAAACTTATTTGAACTTCGTTACCCCATGGAGAATCAGTTTATTTTTACATAAAATAGGGCTTTAATGTCAACTGCTTCATAAGGTTGCAGAAGATACAGTTCATGTAAATAAATCTAGCATAATAAGGCTCCTGATAAGCATTTAAGTATACTGGTCTACACATGCTATGGTGGGTCTGACCTGTGGGGTGACCAAATTAGGGGCTATAGTACTGCCATTAAGGTTTTTCCATCTCTTGGCTTTGCTTCTGTATTAGGCTTATTCTCTTGATTTCTTTGGCAATTTTCCTAACTCCTGCATAAAAAATGAATTAGCGTGGCCTGGGATGGTAGGTCCCWCTACATTAGAAATGCTCTGATTGCTTAGGACCTCTCTTTTCCCCATTTTCTTTCCCCCAGTTTAATAAAAACCATGTGACAACATACCATCCTGCTTTTAAAAAAATTTTTTTTAGTTGTAGATGGACAATACCTTTATTTTATTTATTTTTATGCGGCGCTGAGACTTGAACCCAGTGCCTTATATGTGCGAGGCAAGCACTCTGACACTGAGCCACAATCCCAACCCACTATCTTGCTTTTGTGGAGCTTATTCTGATAGGGAAGACATTAATTATTCTGATAGGGAAGAATTAAGCAATGGAGTAAATAATGGAATATATTTGGCTCCAAGGGCTAAGAAGCCAGCAATCTGAACAATGTCGAGAGGAGCTACAGAGCAGAAACTATACTGCAAAAAGATGAAACAAGTAAGAGCATGGCATTTTTAGAAGACACTAAAAGATGATCCATGAAACTAGATGGTAGAGTCCTATGAAATAAAAGAGATGCAGAAAACCAACTCATCCCAGTTAAGGAGTTGAGTTTACTTAAAACAGGAAACTATTAAAATTTTAAACTGAGGAATGACATCTTATAATCTATTAAAGTTATTTTACTTCCCATGTGCTTTTATAAGGTTAAACATGGATGTAAACCTTTAGAAGCAATTATTTCTGACCTTATCTTCCCTTCACCTGTTACTGGAATTAGGAGGGGAAAAAWGGAAATGCTTTCAACAGGCTAAGTGATCATCACTTACATGAGTTGCTATTTCCCAGGAAATAGCCCAGTTGATCAAAAGCCATAGCCATGAACATCATTTCTTATTTCAACAGCATATTCAAAGTCATTAATTCAAGGTTTAAGAGAGAGTCGTAAGAGTAGGACTGGCAATAACAGCCTGTCTGAAAATGACTTGCTAGAATAGCACCTATCTCACAACCAGAAAGACCTATGAATTATTTTCCTTCATGTCATTACAGATAATCATTATGACAAAGTTCATAAGGACCAAATGCTGCACTGTAATACTGTAGTTTRTAATCTGTTTACTGAATTTAGCCACACTCATGGATAGAAGATCATTATTTGGCACTGCTTCAAAACTGAAGGATTAGCTCTACTTCTGGAATCAGCAGAATGTAGCCTGCTCCTGCACTCTTGTACAGATCTTGTACAAATCTTCTCACAGGAATCCATTACTATGCCCAGATTTTTAGGGTAAGTCCTTAGTTAATGCAAATTTAACTTACTTTCCTCAATGCTAGGAAATCTGGATCCTACAAGCATGGTTTTAAAAGGGTTCAAAGCATACAGTGCTGCTACTCTACTGATCACATTAGGCATTTCAGATGCATAAAATATGCTCTCCCTCATTCATACTAAAACAAAACCTTCTGTGGAAAGTACCCCAAAATAGCAACCTCCCAATAAAAATAGTMAATTTTCTCAAGAGACAAATTTAATTAAAAATTCCCTCCCAATTCTGCATTTCCTAACTGAAGTATTGTAACATGTTGTTTTTTGCATTTAAAAGGATAAGGTTATTGTTTTTTCCTGGTTAGGCTTTTCATACCATTTCAAAATGACTTGGCAGAGGCAGCCAAGACACAAGGGGCAGACACTTCACCACTGAGCTATATTCCCAGACCTTTTTAAAATTCTCAGACAGGGTCTAAGTTGCTGTGGCTGGCCTTAAACTTGCCATCTATGTGCCTCAGCCTCCTAAATCACTGGGATTAAGGTATGCACCACCATACCTGGCTCAAATCCCACATCTAAATAAATTCCTCTATTGGGCTTTAGAAACTTTAATGCTATACTGTTTAAAAGTATATGATTAAATGATATTAAATGCCAAGCAATAAAAATACTTCCCAAAGGTATATATACCTAAAGATTTCAAAGTGATCAAATTTAAAATTTATACATGACCCCCCCTTTTTTTTGTGGGGGGAATATCTTGAGAAATATTCTCAGTAATCAACTCTAACTGTAGCCCTTCACAGCTGTATTATAACTTTATTTAACAACTCAGTAAAAGCCAAAATTGATGGATTTTAACATGGTATGTGGAAAACAAAGTCAAAGAATACAAAGTGCCCCCAAAATCATTCTGTTCAATACCAGTGCCTTCAATATTACCAAACTTCTGTGAAAGAAGCCTTAATAAAGAAAGACTAAAATCAACATGGAAACTGATTTAAAAAAAAAAAAGTTCATTTAGCAATTCTGACAATCTAGAAAAGAAGGTCTGACTATAATACTGGATAACATAGACATCATGTTTTAAGTAGAAAACATAAGAACAAAAAGTAATTATCACTGAAAATATTGCACAACTTCAGCTGTTTCCTCCAAATTTACTTTATATAATCAGATGGATATAAATTAATGAACAAAAATTTAAGCAAGATACATTAACAATTTAACAGAACCCGATAATCTAATTTCTTCCAATTTTTCTCAAATTCATTTGAGTGTTTCCATCATGGTGCTCATAAGGAAATCAAACAACATATGGCTACTACAGTTGAATGTCAAATTAA